AATAAAATGCTCGTATTCCTCAGGGATTGGCGCGGCCGATGTGATCATGTCATCTAACATGTCTGAGAATTTAGTCCAATCTGCCTTTCTGAAGTTGAATCTTCATTTAAATCGAACTTCCTGAGACCTTATAGTTGGGAACAGTTGGCATACTATTGGTCGGTGCTGTGTGTTTGGGATTGGTGGTCCCACTAGTTTGGTGCATTGCTGTACGAAGCCGTCGCTCACAAATAGGAGGTCTGGGTTATAACTTCGGTGCCATCTCCCGCTGTTGTAGCTTGCTATCATGGATGAGTGATAGTCTGTGCAGTTCAGACCAGGAGAGGACAGCCTCTCCATTTTCATCCTCTTGGGCATAGCCCCATACGTGGCTATGGCTGTTGAAGTCACCAATTACTACCGCCCTTTGGTGCTTATCAAAGTTCTCGGGGGAGGAGAAGCAGAACTCTTCATTTGGGGGCTTGTACACAGAGGTGATGGTGATGTTATTAAGCTCTACTGTTATAACCTCGATATTGTTTTCTTCAGTGTTGTGGGCACTGCTGACTTGGAGGCCTGGTTTGACAAAGACAGCGCTTCCATACTGCGCATGTGGTCTTTCCGCTACTAAGAGCATTCCTGGGACTTTGGGTCGTTTCTGTTGTTCGTCCCTGTGTGTTTCTTGGACACACAGCACATCGCATTTCTTATCTCGGCACAGTTCATAGAGCAGTTGCTCTTTGGCAGCTGACATGCCTTGGATGTTGATTGAGATTATTGTCATGGTTGGTCCTGAAAAGGACCGTTGGTTGTTTTGCTTGCTTGCTTGCATGCTGGTCGCTTCTGTGGCGAGAGAATCAGCCGTCTACGAAGACGTTGCCCAGGGGACGCTCAGATGTCTTGCAATCCTGCGAGGAAGCTTCTCTCATGTCCCCCATAATAATAATAATATCCTAGAAAAGTTTGTGGTCTACCAAACCTCCATTCATGGATAATCTATGACTACTGTATTTTAATCTTTGTTCCATGCATATATGTGGGTTTTTTTAAAAAAAAACAACAGAAATGTATTTTTGCATTTCATTGAATGCATTTTATGATGATGTGTGTGTTTAACTGTGTTGTTGTTAAAACAGCCAGGCTTTGAAGTTGCAAGGCCATTAAATGCTAATCAAGGTGGCCAACTGCAACATTCACACTTGCCTCAAGCAAACAAGAGCTCTTTTTCCCACCCTGGACATTCTACAGACATATAAACAGACCTCACAACCTCTGAGGATGCCTGCCATACATGTGGGCGAAATTTCAGGAGAGAATGCTTCTAGAACATGGCCATACAGCCCAGAAAACTCACAGCAACCCACCTTGACAAGCACTGAATGACTGCTTCCTGCCTGGGGGAATCCTTTGTTGAGAGGAGTTAGCTGGCCCTGATTGTTTCATGTCAAGAATCCCTCCCTTTTTTAGTGTTGCTCTTTATTTACTGCCCCGATGTCTGTGGTGGAGTACCCATTGGCCTGTAGTATCCAGTTTAGGGGTTCAGTTCACCTTAGAGGAGGTAGGGTTCACGGATTCTTTTTGCACAGTCTGCTTGGGCTTTAATTGTGCTTTTTTTACTTGGGTGATGGTTGGAGTTTTTATGTAGGTATCTATCAGTGTATGTAGTTTTACTGTAAATTGTGTGGCCCAATTGTTGATTAGGTTTGTGGATGATTAGGATATCTAGAGAAGACAGTTTTCCTTCATTTTCTTTTTCAATGGTAAATTAAATGAACTGGACCACTGCAACACCTACCATGCCAGACTACACAGAGAAGCCACTGAAATCCACAAGCATGTGGACAATTTGAACAGAAAGGAGAAAACAATGAAAATGAACAAAATCTGACTACCAGTATTTTAAAAACCTCTAAAATCAGGACAGTAAATAAAGAGAAACACTAAAAAGGGGGAATTCCTGACATGAAATAACCAGGGCCAGCTAACACCTCCTAACAAAGGATTCCCCCAGGCAGGAAGCAGCCATTCAATGCTTATCGGGGTGGCAAATTGCAACATTCACACTTGCCTCCAACTGACAAGAGTTCTTTCTCTTATCCTGGTCATTATTCCACAGGCATATAAACCTCACTTGTCTAGTTTCCAACAGACCTCACAACCTCTGAAGATGCCTGCCATAGATGTAGGTGAAATGTCAGGAGAGAATGCTTCTGGAACATGGTCATACAGGTCGGAAAGCTCATAGCAACCCCGTGATTCCAGCCATGAAAGCCTTCGACAACTCATTGTGCTGTTGTTATTATAATTATTATTGATAATAATAATAACAATAATAATAATAATAAAGGTTTGTGACCCACCAAACATCCATTTCTAGGTTCTACATGTTCAATTAAACAAAGAGTCTCCATAAAATGAGATGCAACCCAGTCACACACCCACAACAACACAAAATGCATCAATGTTTAGCCTTTAGGAGATCTGTAAAAACACAGACAACAGATTTATCTAGAGGCATCCCTCCTTTATGAGCAGACAGTTTGCTGACAAGCAGCTGACATCAGCCATCTGTGTGATCCAGCAAAATGAAAGCTTAATGAAGCTGAAATGCACATAGGTGCCCCTTCCATTTCCAAAGGCCTCTGAGTCCAGGAGCAAATATTCCAAAGAGGGAAGGCAGAACAGGCCCCGTCTCTGGAAGAATCCAAATGGACTTGGACGCAACCACAGCTGGCCTGACTATCCCATGAAACCAGATCTCATCTACCCGACTGCTTTTCCCCTTTGCGGGGAATGTCAAAAAGAGCAGGCTCCACCGGCAAAGCTCCCCGACGCCGAATGCTGCAAGCTGCTGCTCGCAAGGGACACGGAGTGCACGGCATTCCTCTCGGACGCACCAAGGCAAGCCCGATCATTCTGGTACAGGAGATGGATAGCATAAGCAAAGCAGACTTAGCTACCATTGTCTTTGCAAGGCATCCATCACAGTTCTCCTCCCAGCCTAATTTGCAACAAGATCTGCAGTAAGCTGCAAAATTCACAGCAAATATGTACAGGGAACAGACTTGGAGGGAGTCAGATATTGATGCTTCCTGCTCTCAGAGCACAAACATGGACCATATACAAGGCCAGGTGAAGGTGGGAACAGAGACAGTGGGTTCTTGGAGTGCCCTAGGGCACATGTGCCAAATGCAAAGCTCCCGGGTCTGAATCTAGCTAACCGTGTCATGTAATTTTATGTGGCCCTCCTCCAGATGCTGGACTCCGACTCCTATATTCCACATCATTAGATCCCATGTCTAGAGCTGATAGGAGTTAGGATACAGTAACATCTGGAAGGCTGATGTTGATTCCGTCGAGTCAGGTTAGTGGTGTTGAATTTAGATGCAAGGCTTGTGGTTATGATGTCTGATATTCAAATGTCCTTTAACCTTTTCCCAACCTCAGAGCCATGAGTGCTGTTGGGTTGCCATTCCCATCATTCCAGTCTGGAAGTGATGGGAGTTGTTGTTCAATAACAACTGGGTAAAAGCTAAAAAGTACCGACCACAATGTAAAAAATTATAGTTGGCCCTCTCTATCCACGGAGTCTCTGTTTATGAACAGCCTTTTGAAGGCAACCAGAAGCCTGAACTGGCCCTCCATGAAAATGACTGTAAGACCCGTACCCTAGAGTTTGATTTCATTATGCCCAGGGGCACCAAAATCCAAGGGTGCTCAAGTCCCATTATATCCAACTGCCCGATACAATGATAAAATCAAGGTGAGTTTTTCAGAATGTTTACAAAAATGTTTCCAAGTCATGGATGGTTGAATCCATGGATACAGAATCCATGGACACAGAAGGCCTATTGTCCTGCTAATTCTATTTAAGCAAGGGGGTATATCTATAACTACAACTACTCCCCAAAACAGAGATTTCCAATAATTTCATGTTAGTGACACATATGCATCATTTTGCAACACAGTAATTCAGTTTCATTAGCAAACCAGATGTTCAACCAACCCCTTATAAGAGATACAGACACATACATACATTGTAATAACGAGACAGATGGGGGGAGCACAATATATCTCGTAAAAGCCTTTAATTTCTATTTTTAAAAATGTATGATTTGTAAGATAACACATTCAAAATATTTTTGTCACTTTTTGCTACGTTTGCGCAACATACCTACATGCTGCTGCTGACACACAAACGTGTCACGGCACACTGTTTGGAGAGCTCTACCCCAAAGCCATTACTGTTCACATCACCAAAAGACACACAACGTGTTCTCCATTGGATCTGGATAGGAAAATCCAATAAGCAGCCACATTTTCAAAGGTCACCATTTTCGCAAGACCCCGACCACAAGGCAAGAGCTGGGAATCCATTTGTACTGTACTTACCTTTTAACATTCCTTTCTAAAAATTCAATCTAGTTCAACAACAAATCGGTACAGAACCAGTGAACTAACCAAATTGTTTGTCATTGATCTCTGATTGAATGATGGGTGGCACACAATGAAAGAAACCAATCCTAATTGATACCACAGATGTTTATTTATTTTTTTGCAGGGGGAGCCTTTCCTGATTTGCAAATGTGCATATCTTAGCACTGAGTAAAGGTAAAGGTTTCCCCTTGACATTAAGTCGAGTCAACTCCAACTCTGGGGGATTAGTGATCATCATAATTTCTAAGATGTAGAGCCGGCATTTTCCATACACACCTCCAAGGTCATGTGGCCAGCATGATGGAATGGAGCACCGTTACCTTCCTGTCAAAGCGGTACCTATTGATCAACTTACATTTGCATGTTTTCGAACTGCTGGGTTGGCAGAAGCTGGAGCTAACAATGGGAGCTCATCCTGTCTGTGGATTCGGACCACCGACCTTCTGATCAGCAAGTTCTGCAGCTTAGCAGTTTAACCTGCTGCGCCACTGCAGCTCCCTAGCACTGAGTAGCAAACACAAATTGAAGTCTTTTCATTTTTTTGTGGGGGAAGCAAAGAGAGAAGTGGAAATATGAATACTTACCGCCATGACGAGCTCAAAGGGGTATTTGTAGACTCGAACAGGAGATTGATATTTCTGCACCATTTTTACTTTATACCTGCAATGAAAGAGCACAGCAGCCTTTTTGAGCAACCTATATACCCAACTTCATTGAGTAAGCCTTAACCATCCATGTTGGTTTGCAATACAATGGATGATCTTCACTTGGAGATCAAAACTAGGAAAAAAACAGAACCAGAGGCTCCAAAAAGATGGCTTGGACCTCTCATACGAATGCCCAAGAAGCTCTGTTGGTACCACCTCTGCATCCCCTTCCCTTTATCTGGGATTTGATGTCATCGTGTCCCCATGCTGAGACATTTTCCTTTTCATGTTAAAGAGTTCTTGACACCATCAACATTTTGCCGTTGTGCCCAACTGTGCTGACTAATTTGATTTTGAAGCAGCATAAAGACAAATCTAAGTGGAGGAGAGCATACTTTGCACAATGTTCTCGGCATACAGTTGAGAAAATTACACCGTTGTTAGGAGTGAGTCAACGCTAAAGCAGCTACCTTGCCGGGAACACAAAAAGGCCGGTGGGATTTACAACACCCATCTCGGGCCCTTCATTTATCTCAACCACTGGGATTTCTCCTTCTGCCACCCCCAGGCACTTTAAAAATCCGTACATGACATGCCAAAAAACAAGAATCCCGAACAATGACAAACCCACTCTTACAAAAAGCCATTGAGCTGCTCCCTGCAAACTCTGTAGGAGGTGCTGCCTCCGCTGTTCTGGAAGCTTAAAGAAGCTGAAAGTTCAGAAGGCTAAACTCCTCCAAAGTTCTGGGATGGAAAGGGGAGAGATCTCAAAAGTATGGTCACTCGAAGGTCAACAGTGGGACAAAGTTCTGATAAAAGGGAGTCAAAGATGGAAACATTAAGGGATTCTAGGGGGACAACTTAGGTTGGATCTACATTGTAATCCACTTTGAGAATGCAAATTAAATGCGTTGAAATGAGTTATATGAGTCTACACTGCCATGTAATCCAGCTCAATGAAGTTAATCTGCATTCTAAAACTAGATTACAGTATTTTCACTTTAAGAACAGACAAACATCTCAAGCTCTGAGGATCACCTAGGAAGAAATCCCACTGGGGCATTGCAACACACCCAAATACCTGGGAGACACTCTGGACCGTGCTCTGACTTACAAGAAGCATTGCTTGAATATCAAGCAAAAAGTGTGTGCTAGAAATAATATCATACGAAAGCTGAATGGCACAACCTGGAGATCACAACCACACACAGTGAAGACATCTGTCCTTGCGCTTTGCTACTCTGCTGCTGAGTACGCATGCCCAGTGTGGAATACATATCACCATGTTAAAACAGTGGATGTGACTCTTAATGAGACATGCCGCATTATCACAGGATGTCTGCACCCTACACCACTGGAGAAATTATACTGTTTAGGCGATATTGCACCACCTGATATCCATCGAGAAGTAGTAGCCAATAATGAAAGGGCCAAGGCCATGACATCTCCGGCCCATCCTCTGTTCAGATATCAGCCAGCAAGCCAATGACTTAAATCAAGAAATAGTTTCCTAAGATCTACAGAGATACTCAAGAAACACCTCAGCAAGCGAGAGTCCAAAAGTGGCAAACGAAAACCCGCAACCTCAATCAGTGGCTATTTATTTATCGTGTCAGTAGCAACCAGGGGGACATGAGAGAAGCCTCCTCGCAGGATTGCAAGACATCCAGGCGTCCCCTGGGCAACGTCTTCGTAGACAGCTGATTCTCTCACTCCAGAAGCGACCAGAAGCAACTTGCAGCATGCAAACAAGCAAGGAAAACAATCAACGGATCTTTTCAGGACCAACCATGACAATAATCTCAATCAACACTGAAGGCATGTCAGATGCCAAAGAACAATTGCTCTATGAACTGTGCCGAGATAAGAAATGCGATGTGCTGTGTGTCCAAGAAACACACAGAGATGAACAACAGAAACAACCCAAAGTTCCAGGAATGGTCTTAGTAGCGGAAAGACCACATGCACAGTATGGAAGTGCCGTCTTTGTCAAATCAGTGGCTGATACTGGATGAGAAACTCCCCCCCCCGGGCACATAAAAGCCTGGGTGATTTGGAAGGTGCTGAACAGACTGCGCTCTGACACCACGGGATGCAGAGCTAGCCTTAAGAAATGTGGCTACAAAGTGGAGTCCACAACATGCGAGTGTGGAGAAAAGCAAACTACTGCCGACCTACTACAATGCAACCTGAGCCCTGACACATGCACAATGGAGGACCTTCTCGCAGCAACACCAGAGGCATTCCAAGTGGCCAGCTTCTGGTCAAAGGACACTTAATAGAATGCCAAGTTTTTAACTTTGTGGTTTTAATATATTATAGCTGTATTCTCAGTTTGCTTCTGACATGATAAATAAATAATACAGTATATGGCAATGCAGATCTAGTTATACAGACATTCAGGAAATAATCCTCTAAAAAGTGATCTATTCTTTGATGAAATCTCACAATTAAGATCTCATGTGAAGCAGAAGGAAAACCTGACCAGTGAACAAACTGAATTATTATTATTATTATTATTATTATTAGAAACACAACAAGATGAGTCCACATCAAACAAGATCACTCTGCTCGCTGTTGTATTGGATCACACGTCAGACACTTCTCAGTGTCTAGGACTGTGTGATGTATTGGTGAATAACACGTGCAGATTCCAGTAGGGCGGCCTTTTGCAGCTGGCAGATGGTAATTTTGTTAGCATCGATTGTGTTTAAGTGCAGGCCAAGGTCTGCTGATCATTATTTTTACTATTACTATTATTATTTTGTTACCTACCCCTCCTTGTGACTTGAGATGTGATACAACATGATTAATACAGAAAGAGAAAACACAGCAGTATTAAAATACATATAGCAAGATACACACAGGTAAAATTCAGGTTAAAATTTGCACGTTTAAACCGCTTGGGTCGGCATGATCTCTGGAAGGGACAGATATTTAATTATGTGTTAAACTATTAAATATACCTGAGATTTTGAAATTGCTTGCATCAATCTGCAGTTTTCAGAACTTGTTTTAATACTTCCAGTCCACTAAACGGCCATCTGAAAAGGCTTCAGTCCTGGGTAAATGTTATCACTGGTGCAACAGCGGTAGATATATCTACAAGACAGAATATAGGAAACCAGGGTTGTTAATATCTAACAGGATGGAGTCAAGCAGCAGAAGGCTTTGCTGAGATCACGTAACAGCCATCCGAGCCACAAGGCAAAGCTGTAATTGTGACACCTTGGAGTCTCAGAGTCAAGCACGAGCAAAGGGGATGCATCCCAGCTCCAAAACAAATTTAAACTGCGGCTTTCACTTTGCACTCACTGTCCTCTAAGAAAGTCATACCACCTTCTGCAGAAGAATTAGGGATCTAAAAGGCTTCCATACAAAAAAGAAACAGTGTTTGCTGAAATTGATGGAAAGATACAAGCAACAGGATTGTCTCTTACCTTACTTTGGGACAGATGAGTTGTATATAATGTATACAGTTCAAATGATCATGTAAAAGTTTTGTTATAGATGCATTATTGATCACAGGCAAAGCTCTCTTTTTCATACACACAGATGGGAATAATGAATAGGAGTAAATCTGCTGGATGTGTTGTAACATGTGTTGTGGCATGCGGCTACAGCTTTCGAGAAATGATCAATATATCCCTTGAAAAGAAACCAATTTCTTTTGGCCACAGACATATTGTGTCATCCAGGCCTCGTGTTTGTAATGTATTTCCAGCCCAGGTAAATAGACCCTTGTGGCCTCTAAAGGCCTAGTAAGAGAAAACCATCAACAAGAGATTTAGGAAGAAGGCTCATCTCCATATTGAAAACCATATTAAAACAACATGCCTGTTGACTGGGATGTCCATTCTTGTAAACTGGAAAAGCCGGACTCTTCTTAGGTTGACGGCTGCACTCATGCATCCAATTTCCTAGCCGCTCGTTTCCAGTTTAGCCTTCAGTTCAGCAAGGCTGATGGCAGTATTCCAAACTCTATAGCAGTGTTTTTCAACCTTCCTAATTCTGCGACCCCTTAATAGAGTTCCTCATGTTGTGGTGACCCTCAACCATAACATTATTTTCATTGCTACTTCATAACTGTCATTTTGCTACTGTTATTAATCGTAATGTAAATATCTGATATGCAAGATGTATTTTCATTCACTGAACCAAATGTGGCACAAATAACCAGCAATGCCCAAATTTGAATACTGGTGGGGGTGGGGGTTGATTTTGTCATTTAGGAGTTGTAGTTGCTGGGATATATAGTTCACCTGTAATCAAAGAGAATTCTGAACTCCACAAATGATGAAATTTAACTAAACATGGCACATAAAACTCCCACGGCCAACAGAAAATACTGGAAGGGTTTGATGGGCATTGACCTTGAGTTTTGGAGTTGTAGTTCACCTACATCCAGTGAGCATTGTGGACTCAAACAATGATGGATCTGGACCAAACTTGGCACAGATAACACGATATGCCCAAATGTGGACACCGGTGGAGTTTTGGAAAAATAGACCTTGACATTTGGGAGTTGTAGTTCCTGGGATTTATAGTTCACCTACAATCAAAGAGCATTCTCAACCCCGCCAATGATAAAATTGGGCCAAACTTCCCACAAAGAATTCCTATGACTAACAGAAAATAGTGTTTTTTTCTGATGATCTTTGGTGACCCCTCTAGCACCCCCTTGCGACTCTCCCCCCAGGGGTCCCGACCCCCAGGTTGAGAGAAACATTGCTCTATAGGGACCCAATATGGGAAGTTTTTATTCACATCAAAAGCATGAAATCTCCTGCCTTGACATGTTCAAGAGAGAGTCTCATCAGTTAGCTCTAGAGCTTTCCCTTTAGGAAAAAAGAAAAGAGATGTCCATAATGGCCAATGTATTTTGTGAAAGAGCCACTTGAGCTTGTCACTCATTCCCATCCTGAAGGCTTGATGCCTCCACACCCTTACTCTGCTTCCCTAAGGCCAAAGGCTTTGTCTTCCTCCATCTTTAAACATCTAAAGGCAAAGCTATGAGTTCTCCCCTTTCCCCTGTGTCTTGGCCCTTGTACACGTTTTTAAAAGCATTTGAGAGCCCCATGGTGCCAAAATGACAACAGCAAGTGGAAATCCCACCAATTTATGGCCCAAATCCTGTTGCAGCACTATCCTATCATTTAAATAGTTGCACAAGGAATTCAATTTTGTATCATAAATGTGCACAAATGTGCAGTTAATTGTTCCACTAGTATGTGCAGACCTGTCCCACACTCATTGATGTGAAAAATTGGGGATTATTATTATTATAAAAATCATCATCATCATCATGCAAGGGGTGATCTCAAAGCTATGATATCCACTGCTCAACTGAATTATAGAGTTGGAAGAGATCACAAGGGCCATCCAGTCCAACCCCATTCTGCCAGGAAAAGCCCAACTGAAGCACCCCAACAGAGTGCTGTTGTTCAGCCAGAGGATGAAGATGAGGGGATTGTTCAGAGATTGTGAAAACTGATGGACTTTCCAGTGTGGTAAATGAGGGGATTTTAGATCACGATTCTGTCTGGGTCTGTGTCTGGTGAGAGAAATTGCTTCAGAGTAGAGATGGAGATGCTATGGCATCAGAAGATAGGGAGAATCTTTCCCCTAGTTGTTCCTTAGCAATGGAAGATAAGGAGCTGGAAGGGAGAGATCTTTCCCCTGGGAAAACACCTGAAGTCAATAGGAATTTGAGGTTCAATCTCCAGGAGGAGGAAGCCAGATTACGGAGGTCACAGAGACTCTGTGAGAAATCCTTGAAACAACAAAGCAGATGTCAAAGGTATGACTTCATGGCTTTGTGGCCCTTAAATTAACTAAAAGGGTTAGAGCAGGCAACACTGCATTACCGTGTACACCTTGGTCTTGTTCCACGTTCAAGTCTATGTTTAATTTTTTTCGGAAAGTTTTATGCTCATGTTCGTGGATTTATGTTTTGGAAGAAGTAGCTGTGTTCCTGGTTATGGATTTATGCTTATGTTTTGATTCTTGATTTTCCATGTACTTTGTCACTTTTGAACAGAACTCTGATGTACGGACTATTAATAGCCTTTTTCTTATTGCTTTTTGGGACATTGCTTTTTGCATTGTCTTTTGCCTTTTTATAGTTGCTTTCTTCAATGAACTGTTTAGTTAGTAATACTGGACTCTTGTGTGGTACAAAGGTAAATCCTCACAGATGGCCATCCAGGCTCTTTTAAAAGCTTCAAAAGACCTAAGAGGGAAAGAGTTCCACTGTTCAACAGTTCTTATGGTCAGAAAGTTATTTCCTAATGTTCAAGTGGAATCTCCTTTCCTGTCATTTGAACCCATCACTCCATTGAGTCCTAGTCTCCAGAACAGAAAACAAGCCTGCTCCCTCTTCCTTATGGCATGGTTGCAGATATTTAAATATGGCTCTCAGGTCTCCTCTCAACCTTCTCTTCTGTGGGATAAAAAGATCCAGTTCTTTAAGCTGTTCCTTAGAGGAATTATTCATGGTTTCCAAACCTATGATCATTTTGGTCACCCTCCTTTGGTCATTATGCTGGCATATATTTATATGCTCTGCGAGTGCAGCATTTTTCCGAATGAAGCAGAGTATGTTTGAGGACCGGGACATCCATAGGGATACCAAGGTGCTTGTTTATAAAGCTATTGTCTTCCTAATTCTGTTAATAAAGCTATTGTCCTCCCAAGCCTGCTATATCCCTGCGAAATGTGGACTATCTACAGACGTCACATGCAACTCCTGGAACGATTCCATCAGCGCTGCCTCCGGAAAATCCTGCAAATCTCTTGGGAAGACGAGCGGACAAATGTCAGCGTGTTGGAAGAAGCAAAGACCACCAGCATCGAAGTGATGGTCCTCCGCCATCAACTCCACTGGACTGGCCACGCTGTCCGGATGCCCGACCACCGTCTCCCAAAGCAGTTGTCTACTCTGAACTCAAGAACAGAAAACAGAATGTTGGTGGGCAGGAAAAGAAATTTAAAGATGGGGTCAAAGCAAACCTTAAAAACTGTGGCATAGACACCGAGAACTGGGAAGCCCTGGCCCTTGAGCGCTCCAGCTAGATGTCAGCTGTGACCAAAAGTGCTGTAGAATTTGAAGAGGCACGAATTTATTATTATTATTATTAACTTTATTTATACCCCGCAAAATCTCCCGTAGGACTCAATGCGGCTTACAAAGGCCAAGGCCGCCAACAATCAACAACATACAATACACAATAAACTCAAAAGCAAATAATAAACATCAAGCAAAACAATAAAACAGTAAAACCATGACACCATGACACAATTAAAACCAAGGCCGGGCCAAATGTAATGGACAAATTAAAATACTGAACTTGACAGGTAATATGTAGAGGTATATGGAGGTAGGTGCAATGTGCAGATAATCCTGAGTCTCTAGCAAAGTGCAATTGGGACTTGAAACCAGGAGTTTCCTATTCTGGCAAGGCACACTGGAACAGCCAGGTCTTCAGGCTCATCCTAAAGACAGCCAACGTTGGGGCTTGTCTGATGTCCTTGGGGAGAGAGTTCCAGCGTCGGGGTACCACCACAGAGAAGGCCCTGTCCCTTGTCCCCACCAAACGCGCCTGCGACGCAGGTGGAATCGAGAGCAGGGCCTCTCCAGATGATCGAAGGGAGCGTGCAGGTTCGTAAACGGAGATGCAGTCACACAGGTAGGCAGGTCCCAAACCATTCAGGGCTTTGTAGGTGAGCACCTGCACCTTGAATTGGGATCGGAAGATGAACGGCAGCTAATGGAGCTCCTTGAACAGGAGGGTTGACCTCTCTCTGAAAGGAGCAGCAGTTAACATCCTGGCTGCCGCCCGCTGGACTAGCTGAAATTTTCTTTATTTTTTAAAAAAATGATTTTTATTAAAGTTTTCTAGTAGCAATACATCAATAAGGTGTTAATCATTGACTATGTCAATGACTAGCTGAAATTTTCGAGCCGTTTTCAAGGGCAGCCCCACGTAGAGCGCATTACAGTAATCCAATCTAGAGGTGACCAAGGCATGGACCACCCCGGCCAGATCAGCCTTTACAAGGTAAGGTCGCAGTTGGCGCACGAGTCTCAGTTGTGCAAAAGCCCTCCCGGACACCACCAACGGCTGAGCCTCAAACGTAAGCGATGAATCCAGGAGGACTCCCACACTGCGGACCTGTGACTACAGGGGGAGTGTAACCCTGTCCAGGACAGGTTGCCACCCTATACCCCGATCTGGTTTTCGATCGACCAGGAGGACCTCTGTCTTGTCGGGATTAATCTTCAACTTGTTCCTCCTCATCCAGACAGCCACAGAGGCCAGGCACTCGTCCAGCACTCGAGGGGCTTCCTTGGAGTTAGGTGGAAATGAGTAATAGAGTTGTGTGTCATCTGCATAGAGATGGCACCTAACTCCAAAACTCTGGATGACCTCTCCCAGCGGTTTCATGTAGATGTTAAAAAGCATGGGAGATAAAATAGAGCCTTGCGGGACCCCACAGGTCAAGGGCCAGGGGTCCGAGCAGGCATCTCCCAGCTTCTCCTTCTGGGATCGGCCCTCCAGGAAGGACTGGAGCCAGGACAAAACCGTGCCCCTGAGACCCATTCCAGAGAGCCGTCCCAGAAGGATACCATGATTGATTGTATTGAAAGCCACTGATATGTCCAAGAGAACCAGCAAGGTCACACTCCCCCTGTCAAGCTCTCTACGGAGGTCATCCACCAAGGTGACCAAAGCCTTCTCAGTGCCGTGGCCAGGCCTGAAACCAGACTGTGACTGGTCCAGGTAATTGATGTCGTCTAGAAAGCCCTGGAGCTGGGAGGTGACCACCTGCTTCAGCACCTTGCCCAGAAAAGGGAGGTTGGAGATTGGTCTATAGTTGTTCAGCACCGTGGAGTCAAGGGAAACCTTTTTGATAAGTGGACGAACCACAGCCTGTTTTAGTTTAGATGGGAAACCCCCCTGCTCCAATGATGCATTAATGATCAGCACAAACCAATCAACCAAACCCTCCCTGGCAGATTTAATTAGCCAAGACGGGCAAGGGTCCAAAGCCGACGTGGTCGCCCTCACAGCACCAAGGACCTCCCCCACGGTCTCAGGAAGAACAAGCCTAAAAGAATCCCACAAAATTGGACAAGCAGATGCCTCAATCACCTCTCCTGGAACTGTGATGTTTTAAAATGATCTTTATTAAATTTTCCTTAAAAACATACAGTAAGTGGAACTTTTATCTTTACAAAAGTTCCTACCAGTATGGGTAAAGTAAGAAGGGGATAGAAAGAAGAAAAAAAAGAGGGGGATAGCAGTGTTGAGAAAGTAAAGTAAATAGTAGTCTGATTTTGTCTACATGTTTTCGTTCTACCAAGTGACCAGAGCCACTTAATGACCGTGGCTGCTGGAATCATATTGTGTGCACAGTGTAGAAACAGAAATTTGAAGAGAGGACTGTGAGGGAAGGGGGTGTGATGTGATTGTTGTAGATCTGGCGTTGACTTCACGGAGGTTTTTCCTTTTCCTTCATTCTTCCCTCTATTGGTCTTTTTCGCCTTCTTTTCTCTGCTGCTCTCCCCTGATTTATATTTTCCATCATCTCTTTCAAGCGATTATTTTCATGKTTTTTTCTTCTASTAAGTATGTTGTTACTTGTTTCCAATCAATTGCTCTTTTTTAAAGAAAGTATATAAGTTAGTTTGTCCATATTTCTTATGTCCAGAATCTTTGTTAACCATTCCTCTTCTTCTGGGAGTTCTTTCTCTTTCCAGTGTTTTGCATAAATTATTCGAGCTGCAGTGGTCAGGAGGAAAAGGATTTTGTCCTTATTTTTTTCCATTTTTATATTATGTATCCCTAGTAAAAAGGTTTCTGGTTTCCGAGGTATTTCTATCTTCAATATTTTTTGTAATGATTTTTGTATCCTGTTCCAATAAATTGTTGCTTTTGGGCAGGTCCACCAAAGGTGATAGTATGTCCCTTCCTGTTTGCCGCACTTCCAACATTTTGTGTTTGTGTTTTTGTTGAATTTCCCTAACCTATGTGGGGTTATATACCACCTATGAGCTATCTTAAACCAATTTTCTTTAAGTTCCATTGCTTTCGAATATTTTAGTTTCTTGTTCCAAACCTCTTCCCATTCATCCTTCTTTATCTCTCTTCCTAAGTTGTCTTTCCACTTTTTCATATATATTTTCTCCTTTTCTGTGTCTCCTTCCCCTTCTAAGAGCTTTTTGTATATCTTGGAGATTAGTTTCTTTTCCGTTTGCATTACTCTATCCCAAAAACATGTTCCTTCTTCGAATCCTTTTTCTTTATCTATCTTGAAGTGTTCTTTGATTTGTTCGTATTGATACCAAGAGATTCTATTGTTTATGATTTTTAGTTCTTGTTGCGTTTTCATCTTGAATTCTCCTCCTTCTTTTTTTATTATATCTTTGTATTTAGGCCAATCATTCCAGGAACTGTGATGAAATTGGAGTCCAGCTTGAGGCGTATCTGAGCAACTTTGCCTGCAAAATGGTGTGTGAACTCGCGACACTGAGTTGTTGGGTTATTGAAGGTTTCCTCCACCGCAGGTGGACGCAGGAGTTCCCGGACAACCCGGAACAGCTCCGATGATCTATTTGCTGCAGACGCTATACGGGCAGTCATGAAAGACTCCCTGGCTACCCGTATAGCCGCGGTATACGCCCTAAGAGAGGCTGTAGCCCGTGCTTGGTCAGACACGTCTCGAGATTTCCTCCAAATGCGTTCTAGCCCCCTTCTCGTATGCTTCATCACACCCAACTCCTCAGTAAACCATGGAGATGGTGTGTCACGATGCAATGAGATGGGGCGTTCGGGAGCGATCGTATCTATCGCCCCGGTCATCTCCTTGTTATAGTGATCGACCAAGGTGTCGACAGGATCGCCAGGCTCCATGGCAGGAAGAACCTCAAGATTCCTCAGGAATCCCTCCGGATCCATCAGTCTCCTGGGGCGGACCATCTTAATTTGTCCTCCACCCCTGCGGAGGTTAGCGGTTGCAGATAGTCTAAAACTGATCAGATAGTGTCAGACCATGAATGGAGGAGGAAAGACAGAAATGTGCCAAGAGGAAGGCGCATCAAGCTAACCCCGACCAGGACCGCCTTCCACCTGGAAACCAATGCCATCACTGCGGGAGAACATGCAGATCAAGAATAGGAATCCACAGTCACCTACGGACCCACCGCCGTACACCGATCTTGGAAGACTATCTTACTCGGACAACGAGGGATCACCTAAGTAAGTAAGTAAGTATATATTTATGCTATATTGAAAATGTATAGGGTCTTGGCCAATGTGCATACGTATTTAATCTCCTTGCTGGGAGCTCCCTCTGAAACAAGCCTGTTTTGGAATTTGACTCTTGTTCACTCTGGTCCATGTGACTGACGGAGCCTAAGCCTATGCAGCAGGAGCCCCTAATCAATGCAGAATCATGGCCCCATTTCCAAACTAATCCTGTTGCCTCTTTCTAAAAAAAAAAATACAGCGTTTTCTGTTCATCCTCATCTGCAAATATATATTCCTAAATCTACCCCTTCCCCTGTCTATCTTCGGAAGCCTTGAGAACAAGCTATAACTTTGCATGTCAATGTCTGCTTATTCTGGGGAGAGACTTGTTAGGTAACAAACCACAGCAAGTAAGGAGTAAACCCTGTCTTCTATCGTCATTATTATTAGCAAGTCCATTATAAAACAACTTTAAGGGACCTGTGTAAAAGGTCTGATACCTTTAAAAAACAAAGAATGGTGTTTTCTCCAAGCGGCGATTATATGAGCATAGTTTGATCCCGAGGCAGAAACAGCTGTTTAAAGCAACCAAGTTTTTTGAAAGTCAAATCGTGGGTCTGGATTAACTGTACCTTTCATCCTAGGTGTTAGGCTCCTCGTTTCATCCGCAGGGTAATTTTCCCCTTGGTACAGAGCCATAATGTCACAGACTGCTCTCCAGAATTAACTCCTTCTTGGAAAACTCTGGCAGGAAGAAAACATTGTTCAATTGCCTACAATTATTTAGGAGCAGCTATTGACTCAGATAACCTCTCCTAAAGATCTTAGATCACTGCTTCCAGTAAATAAGGGCAACTAGAGGTGGAATCCTCCCCCCTCCCCAATAAGGCCCTTATCATAAGGATTTGGTTGTAGGGTGTTTGTCAGCAGTGGCAAGGGTTGAAAGAAGGCAAACTCGCTCCTTTTTCTGTCTCCTTTCCATCTAGTGCTGGAGAAGGAAGGCATGGATTTTAATACAACCCTTAACTGATAATATTCTAAAAGCCAACCACTGAGAAGAGCTATGTTATTGAAGGTTTTCATGGCCAGAAACACTGGGTTGCTGTGAGTTTTCCGGGCTATATGGCTATGTTTCAGAAGCATTCTCTCCTGATGTTTCAACCACATCTCTGGCAGACATCCTCAGAGGTTGAGGAGTCTGTTGGAAACTAGGTAAGTGGGGTTTATATAACTGTGGAATAATTTCCAGGGTGGGAGAAAGAACACTTGTCTGTTTGAGGCCACCTTGATTAGAACTGAATAGCCTTGCAGCTTCAAAGACTGGCCGGTTGCTGCCTGGGAGAATCCTTTGTTGGGAAGTGTTAGCTGGTCCTGATTGTTTCCTGTCTGGAATTCCCCTGGCTTTTTTTTAGTGTTGTTCTTTATTTACTGGAGCCCCCAATGACACAGAGGGTTAAAATGATGAGCTGCTGAACTTGTTGACCGAAAGATTGCAGGTTCAAATCCGGGGAGTGAAATGAGCTCCCGCTGTCAGCCCCAGCTAATGCCAACCTAGCAAATGTGAATAGATCAATAGGCACTACTCCAGCGGGAAGGTAATGGCACTCCATGCAGTCATGCTGGCCACATGACCTTGGAGGTGTCTACGGACAACACTGGCTCTTCGGCTTAGAAATAGAGAAGAGCACCAACCTCCAGAATCGGACATGACTGGACTTAATATCAGGGGGAAGCCTTTACCAAGCTTTTACTTCTTTATTTACTGTCCTGATTTTAGAGGTTTTTTTTAAATACTGGTTGCCAGATTTTGTTCATTTTCATAATCTGACATGGTAGTTGGTAGAGTGGTCCAGCATTTCTGTGCTCTCTGTGACCAGGTTGGTTCATTAGGTGCTCTGCTATGGCTAAGTATCATGTCAGACTACACAGAGAAGCCACTGAAATCCATAAGCATTTGGACAATTTCAACAGAACGGAGGAAACCATGAAAATGAACAAAATCTGGCTACCAGTATTTAAAAAACCCTCTAAAATCAGGACAGTAAAGAGAAGCACTAAAAAAACAGTGGAATTAAAGATAAGAATAAACCAGGGCCAGCTAACACCTCTCAACATAGGATGCCTCTGGGCAGGAATCAGCCAGCCTTGGAAGCTACTAGGCCATTAAATGCTAATCAAGGTGGCCAATTGCAACATTCATACTTGTCTCAAGCAGACAAGAGTTTTTTTCTCCCACCCTGGACATTATTCCACAGATATATAAACCCCATTTTCCTAGTTTCCAACAAACCTCACGATCTCTGAGGATGCCCACCATAGATGCAGGCGAAATGTCAGGAGAGACTGTTTCTGGAACATGGCCATACAGCTTGGAAAACTCACAGCAACTCAATGAGAATAACTGCTTGAGACTACCCTAAAGTTACTCATGTTTTAGCAAAATAAATATAATGTAACTTTGTGGAGCTTGCATAGAAATACCACCATTGAGATCAATCAGATTGAATGTATTGCCCCAATAGAACGCACAGAAAATTAGAAACAGAACTATTCTCGACAAAAAAAGCCTTCTGTTTCTGCAGAAATGTTCAGGGGGGAAAATAGGCCCTTATTATGTAATTAACAGATTACAGGATGAAGGAATAGCAGCAAATCTGGATGCCGAGCTAACTCGTAAAAGTGCTTCGCCATCGGAAACAGTTGAGCAGGTTTCCATCAAGGCTACCTTCAAAACCCAAGTACAAGAAAGGAACCACAGAAGATAAGAGACAATGCTTGTTCATGCCAGGGTTCTGGATGGTCACTATTTGCAAATGTGGCAAACAAGCTGTTGTTTGTTTGCCTTGAACTTGTTTCTAATTTGCAATGACCCCAACAAGGTGAATCTGTCATTCAGTTTCCTTGTTTCTTTGCAAGAGTTGTCTTTGTGGCTGAGAGCGCGGGACTCAATCAAAGTTGGCAATGGGTTTCCACAACCAGTTCCTTTCTAATTGAGCCCAATTTCTGTTTTGTCATTTGGCTTTCAAAAGGCTTGAAGTATTACTCCATGACACACTTCTTTCTTTCTCGATGCAGAAGAGGAATCAGTCAAGAAGCAAGGCACAAAGGCTTTGCTGTGAGTGTTGCTCAGCAGTAGATTAAATCGCCAAAACTCAACATTTTGCACCATTTGAATATGTTTAGATAAAATTCGGATTCCCCAAAATAACCATTGTGGTTAGGATGCTCCTTGAAAAAAGGTAGAAGAAAATGTACCCACTTACATCACCACATCTAGAGTTATTTCACATTGTAAGCAGAAAGCATCTATAACTCCCACCACTCAGGAAACACCAAAGACCCTCCCTCCAATGACATTGCAGGTTATAGTGAGCACCATGAACATGTCCAAAGGCCCTGCCAAATGTCCTCTACAAACACCATAGTGCCCACCACCCAAGTGAAGGCTTTCATTCGGGGACTATTCCATCCTAGATTTTATGTGTTTCCTCCACCACAAACATCCCAGTGTTCCTTTCTCTCTCCATTGCTGTGGAATTTGCATAACCACACCCACTGCCTCTCCCTTAACCCTTTCCTATTCTTTTCTATGTTGCACAGCAAAGGAGTTGTAGTTCACCTACATCTAGAGCGCACTATAAACCCAAAGAATGATGGAGCAGGACCAAACTTGGCATGCATACCTGATATGCCCAAATATGAACACTGGTGGGTTCTGAGGGGAATCTGCCTGGACATTTTGGAATTGTGGGTACTGGGATTTATAGTTCACCTGCATCAATGAGCACTCTGAACTCCACTAAAGATGGAAATGGACCAAACTTGGCACATAGAGCTCCCATGACCAGCAAAAAATACCGGAGGTCTTTGGGGGAAATTCTCCTTGATTTGGGGGAGTTCTAGTTCACCTACATCCAGAGAGCACTGTGAACTCAAACACCGATGGATCTGGACCAAACTTGGCACACACACACCCCTCATATGCCAAAATTTGATTACTGGAGGGGTTTGGAGGGAACTGACCTTCTTTTCTGGGAGTTGTAGTTCATTCATAACCACCGATGATGGACCTGGACCAAACCTGGCACACAGAACCCCCATAACCAACTCAACATACTGGAGGGGTTTGACTCACCATAGTGGGAGTTGTAGTTTATCCTGCAGCCAGAGATCACACTGAACCCCACCAATAATGCATCTAGACCAAACTTGCCCAACATGACAAACTTTAACTACTGATGGAGTTTCAGGGGGTTGACCTGGCATGATGTAAGTTGTAGTTCACCCACAACCTTATGCATTTTGTACAATTAAAAATCGACTTTTTCAAATAACCCAGGGAATGCAGGATACCCAAGCTAGTAAATAATAAAATATGAGTTTAGTAATTACTCCTACGTATGGTAATTTCAGGGGCATCAGATATATATATACATATATATATATATATACATACACACACACACACATATAAAATATTGAAATGTATTATATAAATATAAATGATTTAAATATATATAAGCTATAATATAAATATTAAAAATTATTAAAACAGAATATATCGATATTAAAAACATTAAAATATAATATAACATTTCAAATATGAAAACATTTTTAAATATCTTTAAAATAAAAAACTTTCCTGTGGAAACAGGCCTTCCCTGAAGGAGAATGAATACTAGACCGATCGTGTGCAATATTTGAACGATCTGGACTTTCGGCACTAGACCTGACTATGGCCTAAGTGAATTAATCACTAGATGGGGTTTTTAACCTATTGAAAGTTTTAATTGTTTTAATTGTGGGGTTTTTTGTTTGGATTTTAATTGTATTTTATGTGGGTTTTATATATAGTTTTTTTCGATGGAAATGTGTTTATGATGGGATTGTTGATTGTCATGCTTTTTTGGGGGGCTGCTTTGAGTCCTAATGCGAGAGAAAAGTGGGATAGAAACAAACAAATAATAATGATCATAATAATAATATTTTTCCCATGTCAAGAGCGACTTGAGAAACTGCAAGTTGCTTCTGGTGTGAAAGAATTGGCCGTCTGCAGGGGACGCCTTGATGTTTTGATATTTAACCATCCCTGTGGTAGGCTTTTCTTATGTCCCCACATGTGGAGCTGGGGCTGACAGCAGGAGCTCATCTGTGCTCTCCCCGGATTCAAACCTCAGACCTGTCAGTCTTCAGTCCTGTTGGCACAAGGGTTTAACCCATTGGGCCACCGGAGGCTCCTATATAATAATAATAATAATAATAATAATAATAATAATAATAATAATAATAGATGGTGCAGCTTTGTTTACATTTTCCAAAATGTAAAAAATAGGAATAGGGGGGAAAAAATACAAAATATGAGTTTGCAATTTTTTCCCCTATGTGCATGGTGACTTTGAAGAAAAAATTAAAATGCATTATATAGATGTGAAATATGTCAAATTCAAAACGATTAAAATAGGATTTATAAATATTAAAAATAATAAAAATATAATAATAAATATATTAATATGAAAGCAATTGAAATAAAATAAAATGTATGAGTTTGTCCATTTATCCTACGTTTGGCGAGTTTGGGGACACCATATATATATATATATATGGATACCATATATATAATATGGTTTTAGGAATACACCATTCTCTGAGCTGCAGAGGGGGCATTTCTCCCTGCAATGCCCTGCCTGCCTGCCTGCCTTTCTTCCCTCCTCCTCCTCCTCCTGACTCACCTCTTCTTCCTCCTCCGCCATCCTCCTCCGCTTCTCCTGAAATCCAAGGGCAGCCCAGCTTTCTCTCCACCCGCCGCCGGTGCCTCTGTTCGGGAAGGAAAAGAAAGGGACCCTCGCGCCCCTCTAAGGCCGGCCGGCGCGCTTTAGCCAATCAGAGGGCCCCCGGCCCCGCACGCGCTGCGGCACGGTCAGGCGCCACGCCCACCGCGACGCCAGGACACACCCCCTTCCCGGGGAAGGAGAAGCGGCCCGCGTCGCGAAGCCCCGCCCATCGGCTCATGCCACGCCCCCTCCAGCAGAGCAGGTTGCAAATCAGCTGGGATGGGCATAGGGTCCTTTATTGTAAGAGTCTATTACTGTTACGATTATTCTATTGCAGCTGTTATATATATTAAATGCTAATTGTGTGTATGTATATATATTATTCTATTGCAGCTGTTATATATATTAAATGCTCGTGTGTGTTTGTGTATATATATGTATGTATATGTATGTTGCATGTCACCTATCATTATTATTATTATTTGCAGCTATTATATACATAATATTTAATCTTCCCATTGAGACAGAACATTTAATCTCAATATATAATTAAATATACTGAGATTCAAACTGCCCCATCCTTGTTATCTTTCAAGAACCAGTTGAAGACCTACCTGTTCAAGCAAGTACCTGCGTGACCGTATCTCCATATACGAACCCACACGATCTCTTCGTTCATCTGGTGAGGCCCTGCTCACGATCCCACTGGCATCGCAAGCGCAATTGGTGGGAATGAGGGACAGGGCCTTCTCGGTGGTGGCCCCACGACTCTGGAACTCCCTCCCCAAGGACATCAGGCATTCCCCAACACTGGCAGTCTTCAGAAGGAGCTTGAAAACATGGATGTTCCAGTGTGCCTTCCCAGATTAAGGAATCCCAAGCAATGTCCCTAATGCACTTTATGAGAGAGTTAGAATTGTCTGCACACCCATTTATTTCCAAAATATTCATCCTACCTCACCTGGACATGCCCAGCATTTTAAGAATTTAAACCATTACAGTTGGCCCTGCCACAGGTTTTTAATAGTGTTGTGTTTTTGTTAATGTTCTGCTTTGTTATGAGTTATTTATTTTTGCATTGCATTGCATTGTTGTTGTTGTGTTTTTGCTAATGATGTACTTTGGGCTCGGCCTCTTGTAAGCCGCACCAAGTCCTGCGGGAGATGGTAGCAGGGTACAAATAAAGTTTCTAAATTTTGTGTTTTTTACAATACATTACAACTGTACCCTGGGTAGTTCCTGATACAATAAATAATAATAATAATACTTACTACTATTGTGTTAAAAAAAAACAAGTCTGGATCGTCAGTGTTGAAATCCCAGGCAACAGCAGGATTGAAGAGAAACAACTGGAAAAGCTGACACAATACGAGGATTCGAAGATTGAACTGTAAAGACTCTGGCACAAGCCAGTCAAGGTGGTCCCAGTGGTGATTGTCTCACTGGCTGCAGTACCTAAAGACCTTGGCCTGCACTTAAACACAATCGGTGCTGACAAAATTACCATCTGCCAGCTGCAAAAGGCTATCCTACTCGGATCTGCACACATTATTCGCTGTTATATCACACACTTGGGAAGTGTCCGACGTGTGATCCAATATAACAGCCAGCAGAGTGATTTTGTTTGCTGTGGATTCATATTGGTGTGTTACAAATAATAATAATAATAATAATAATAATAATAATAATAATAATAATAATAATATGTATTGTCAGAGTTTTGCAACATGCCATCAATTCTAAAGTGACAAGAAGCAAGCATTAAGGATTTAATCACCTGGCCAGCCAGAGTGGGGTAGCTGAAAGAGTAATAAAAAAGCACAACCTTCTCTGTTAGTGTTGTTCTCAGAGTGTTGAGTGTTGTAGAGAGAGATTCTAAGTTTTAAGGATTAATGAAGAAAAACAGACAGAAGCTAATACTATGGAGAAGGTAGGAACTGACTGGGAGTGTTGGAAAGAAGGGCTAGAGAAGAGTCAAGAACAGGCACAAGACAACTTCAGCCCTCCAGATGTTTTGGACTTCAACTCCCACAATTCCTAACAACTGTTTTGAATATTCCTCATCTGTGTTAAGAAATTGCATATCCAGATCTTAACAGATTGCTGTTGTTAAAAGCTTTCAGCCTGGAAACAGAACATCCCTTTTGAAATGTGGACTGACAAGGACAGCGTTTTCACTTTTATTTGCCAAAATGTTGTGCTCACATCCGATTCCTACCATGGTATTTGCTAACTACATGAAAACCAATGCCAAAGGAATATTATTTCCTTCCCCATGTTTTAAACCCAAGACAGTTTGTCTGGAACATCCATTTTACTTATGACCCAAATATCAAGTCAGTCAAGGAATCCTTGACAGCATTGAGAGCCTACCCAACTGAGGCAGTGATGCATCCATAGATAGCTATGCAGAACTGCTAAAAACCGAGCTACTTAACTAACAGCCAGAAAAAAGTACTTTGGTTTTTCAAAGGAAATATGAAGGACACTGGGTTTTCCATTCAGCTGGAGGTTCAAGTCTCCAGTTCAGATACCTGCAGTCATACTTTCCTTGACTGTTTTATTCTTCCAAAGCTGCAAAATGAGGGAAACAGGCTGGTTTGTATGAAGCAATCCAGAGACATCCATCCAAGAGGATGCGCTTGTTGCTTAGTTTATGAACGGATCGGGAATGTCAGTCTTCCAAAAAGAAATGAAGAAAGCACTGAGAGATGTGTCTTCTCCTTACACCCGGGTCTTTGTGCTTCTGACTCCAAATCTGTGTTTGGAAAAAGTCACGGTGGAAACCTGGAGCCTCTGGCGGTGGAGAAGTTTATGCTGGCTTGTCAGAAGGATCCTTCGAAGAAGTGCTTTGGGTTTGTAGATCCTGCCCGCTGTTCTCACTTGGAGGAGGAGGAGGCGGTGGTGGTGGCCACGTTGTCTTCTGATGGAGATGGCTGGGAATTAAAAATATTTAAAAGACACATCAACCACAAAAAATGGTCAAAAGAAACTGTAGACAAAATAACTCAACTCCCAAGACTATGTTCCCCCAGCACTCAAGTTAGAGTTAAGAGTTTCAGGGCATTTTTGCACATTTGAGGGGCTTTGGGTAGGGCTTTGAAGTGAAATTCACCTCATTGGGGAATTCAGGGTGTTTGAGGCAACTATGAAGGTACCTTAGGGTGAAAGAGACACAGTCAGGTGACTATTCGTGACCCTAAGGCCACACTTTCCATAACTTTGGTCTCACCCAAAACACCAGTGTGGCAATGTGTTGTCAAAGGTTTTCATGGCCGGAATCACTGGGTTGTTGCGAGTTTTCCTGGCTGTATGATCATTGTGGTGAAGTGTAAATTTTTAACTTGCAGTTATGTATAATTATAGATAGATGTTTTAAAGGGTGAGTATGTAAGTTGCATAACAAAGGGGGATGGTAGCCAGCTCAGCTCATGTTGAGCTCGGTTACCATGGAAACAGGGGCAGAGCCAACTGCCACTTGGCAGGGCAGCCATTTTAAAACAGTCTACAGTCTGTGAACTGTAGGAGTGGCTGGTTCTGTTGAGTAGTGAAAACCAGGAAGGTAATCTGTAGTTTAAAAACTACAGGGAAAGGCTGATTCTATAGTAGTGAGAATTAGCAAGGTTTTGGCTTTTAGCCTGAGTAGTTTAAATAAGTTGAGTTGACTTAATTATATTAATAGTGAATGAGAGAAACCCAGTGAGGATCTCTATTGCAACAGAAACATCACAAAGAAAGAATAAGCTTGTAACTGAAGTAACCTATTAAGGAAAGAAACACAGTTTAAAGAAAAATAAGTTTGAAACCTGTTTAGTGGAAGGAAGTGTCCTTCCCAGAGTTGTTTAAGGAATGTTATAAATGTAACCTTTGAAGATTTGTGCCTCTAAGAGAGTTAAGTTACATTGAAACCATCACGCGCCTTCTACATTTCAATAAACTTGTTACTGTTTTTCCTAAAGCCTTGTCTCTGATACAATTCCTTTCCAAGTTCAGTCACGCTACACGCTACACAGAAGAAAGACCAAATCAATATTATTAGCTATAAGCTACGCTGTCAATTTAATAAGCCCTTACAGAGTGGTGGCTCTTTTACAAACGTTTACAAATTGGCGGCCTCATCACAAATTAGTGGCATCTTCGCGAACCTCTGAGGATGCCTGCCATAGATCTGGGAGAAACGTTAGGAGAAAATGCTTCTGGAACATGGCTGGACAGCCCGGAAAACTCACAGCAACCAACCAATGTGGCATTTTCCCCTTGTACTTAGGGAAGTCTAAGCCGTTCTGCTGCAGGAACCCTTTGCTTCACTCAAGTTAATGTGGATAGTAAGTCCAACTTATTTCCAAGCTGCCACAGATAAACTTGTGTACAATAATATTGCTGCTTCATATGGAAAAGGGATTGAGAAGCAAGAATTGCACACAGCTGAAGGAAGAGACGCAACAGCAAAAGCATTCTGTCTCCGGAAACAGTGGGAGCCTTGGCAGATCCTTTGGATGTGAAGAGCCTTTGATCTATAACAACCTCAAAGGCATTTCCAATTACACTCGCCTCCCCCAAAGAGCCTTTGATATCTCCAATAACTCAGAGAGGAGGACAAAATATATTGACCCTTGTGCAAACAATAACCAAGATGGATTGGAGGACCATACATTTGCAGTTTCCGGTGCTTCAAAGATGTTCAGCTATTGTCTAACTCTGGCTGCATGTCTGCTTGGAAAAGGCTAAATATATGTAATTGCATTAGCCTTCATCCAAGCAGAAAGGAAATTGTGAGGGACACATTTGGTTACAAAATTCATACTGGACTAGACCTAACAGGTCTTCCAAACAATTGTCCTCATAGTCCCAAGATTGTGTTCTTTTTGGATGGCTGGGACAACCATTGTCTGAATGTATCTCATTGTATTTCTGCTGGATGCATTTTCACAAAAAGGGGTGACAGCTACTCAGAACAATCTTCTCTCTCATACAATCATGGATTTCAGCATTTTACTATTCTACAAAACAATTTGTAGAAATTGGAATAATTGGTTCTGCAGCTACAATTTGATTTTGCATCCACAAACACTCCTGTGGACATGTGGCCTTTTTACATAATATTTTCCTTGGGATCAGGAAATATCCTATATTAAGCTGCTCAGTGGAAAAGGGTTTTTTCTTGTTACCTTTATACTGAAGTGCTTTTAGAGCTTTCTAAGTCTGTTTCTCAATCTGGGGGGGGGGTTTACTAGGGGGTTTCAAAGGGGTCACCACATATAATCAGAAAACATATATTTCTGATGGTCTTAGGAACCCCTTTGGCAGAGAAGGCTGAAGATCTCTCTGCCTGCCCTTCTCTTCCTTTTGGGAAACAGACAGCGAATCCTCCCACCAAAAGTCCTTCTCCACTGTGATTGGCTGGCCTTTCAGCCAAAGAGAGGGCTCTTTCTGAGACACCAAGCAGGGAGGGAAGAGCAGGCATGATCAGCGCATGGCAGCATGGTGTGCATGTGCAGGCAAGGGAGAGTGTGCGAGGCTGGCAGGAGGCTCACACCAGCGAGTCCCTTCAAGGAATGGGGGTTCTTTGTGGGAAGTTTGGCCCAATTCTATCATTGGTAGGGTTCAGAATGCTCTTTGATTGCAGGTGAACTAAAATCCCAGCAACTACATCTCCCAAATGTCAAGGTCTATTTTCTCCAAACTCCACCAGTGTTCACATTTGGGCATATTGAGTATTCGTATCAAGTTTGGTCTAGATCCATCATTGTTTGAGTCCACAGTGCTCCCTGGATGTAGGTGAATCACAACTCCCTAACTCAAGGTCAGTGCCCATCAAACCCTTCCAGTATTTTCTGTTGATAATGGGTTCTTTGTGCCAAGCTTGTTTCAGTTTCATCGTTGGTGGAGTTCAGAATGCTCTTTGAACTCCAGCAACTACAACTCCCAAATGACAAAACCAACCCCCCCCCCAACCCCACCAATATTCAAATTTGGGCACATTGGGTATTTGTGCCAAATTTGATTAAATTCATGAAAATACATCCTGCATATCAGATATTTACATTACGATTCATAACAGTAGCAAAATTACACTTATGAAGTAGCAATGAAAATAATTTTATGGTTGAGTTTCACCACAACATGAGGAACAGTATTAAGGGGTCATGGCATTAGGAAGGTTGAGAAACACAGTCCTAAGGCAAGAGTCATCATTATGATCCAGTTGCAATGATACTTGGAACCACATGGTTTTATATCTACGCTCTCTTGTTTTCACTGCTACTAGGGATCTTTTTATAGTCAATAATAATAATAATAACACTTTATTTGTATTCTGCCCTATCTCCCTCAGGGGACTCAGGGTGGATTCCAGCATATATAGACATATACAGACACAAGGCAAACATTAAATGCCTTGAAAGAATGAAACACAGATACACAGATAAAGACAAAGGCCTTCCCCTTCATCTCCGGCTCTGAGGGCTGGTGCGGTGCTCATCTCCATTTCAAAGCTGAAGAGCTGCCGTTGTCTGTAGACACCTCTGTGGTCATGTGGCCAGCATGACTGCATGGAGTACCAGTTACCTTCCTGCCAAGGTGGTACCTATTGATCTACTCATATTTGCATGTTTTCAAATGGCTAGGTTGGCAGGAGCTGTGGCTAACAGCGGGAGCTCACCCCATCCCACAATTTGAACTGCCAACCTTCCAGGCAGCAAGATTAGCAGCTCAACTGTTTAACCTGTTGTTCCAATGTGGCGCCCTCATTTTTTTTCAAATTTTCTTGTATTTTAGGTACAATATTGTGATATGGCCTTGGAAGAGAGATCCATGGGAGTGAGACCATGGGTTATTGGTCTCTCTTGACAGATATCCCCTCTAGTGACAGCCCAAACAATAAAAAGTATTAATAACTAATATTGTGTCATCATTTCCTGACATCCCCAGAAGACCACAAAGCCTTTGACAGCCTTCCCATTCGGTCTGATGGCAGTTTCAGCCATGGGGAGAGAAGGATGGACAATCCATGATCCTGTCCTGGTTGGCTCATGTCATTATGACATTGCAATGAGGAGAGTTATTAGTATCATGGCAATATGTGAAGCTCTCATTCTGTTATGACTGTGGTTATGTGACTTCAGATGGACTTATTGAGACCCTTTCTTAGTCAAATGTGTCCAAACGAGGTTTGTCATTGCATTTTTCTGAGGCTGTCACTTGCCCAGTCTTAGTCAATGAGTTTCCTTGGGCAAGCAGGGATTCAAACCCAGGTCTTCCAGAAGGTCCTATATCCCAGGATCTGATCACAGGCTTTCTGCTTTAAACAGGATTATATGAGTCTGCACAGCCATATAATCTGGGAATAACAGAAAACCTGGAATCAGATCCTGGGATATAGGGCTATCTGGAAAGGTCCCTAGTCCCACTTAAACCATGCCGACCTCTGGTCCTATGGGATACATCAAAGATGCTCTGAAGACCCAAAAAAATGACCCCAAAAGCTGCCTGAGGAGGAAATGGCTTCTATACTCACTCTTTGTAGTCTGGAGTCGCATTCCCAGCTGGGCAATCGTCCCAGTTGTGCAATAAAGCTGTCAACACAAGAAGAACTGATTGGATCAGAAAGCACCCTTTAATCAACCAAATGCACTGCCAATAGGGCTAATTCAGTATTGAACCTCATCATTTCCCAGTTAGCATCCGAACAAGGATGTCGCCAAGACTCAAAATTCCTCACTTCTGCAGGGAAACGTTTAGCAAAGTGAGTATTAGATTGGCACCTCAATTTCACATTCGAATTTCACCCACTTACATCCAACTCACTCTCCCTATTTGCAAGTCTCCAACTCTTGTCCACCCACTTTATTTGCTGTTTATCTAACTGTCTTCTGACAGCATAAGATCAGAGGAAGAAAAGGAGATTTCCCCCTGTACTTCCCTTTCAAGCATTAGAAAATGGGGGGAAGCAGCAGCAAGAGGGGCCAAGAAAGCCATCTTAGTTAATGTGAGTGTTCCAGGCTGTATGGCCATGTTCCAGAAGCATTCTCTCCTGATGTTTCATCCACATCTATGGCAAACGTCTTCAGAGGTTGTGAGGTCCATTGGAAACTAGGCAAGTGAGGTTTATATATCTGTGGAATAATGTCCAGTGTGGGAGAAAGAACTCTTGTCTGCTTGAGGCAAGTGTGAATGTTGCAATTGGCCACCTTGATTAGCACTGAATGGCCTTTGAGCTTCAAAGCCTGGCTGATTGCTGCCTGGAAGCATCCTTTGTTGGAAGGTGTTAGCTGGCCCAGATTGATTCTTGTCTGGAATTCCTCTGTTGTTTGAGTGTTCCTCTTTATTTACTTTCCTGATTTTAGATTTTTTTTAAACAGTGGTAGCCAGATTTTGTTCATTTTCATGGTTTCCTCCTTTCTGTTGAAATTGTCCACATGCTTGAAATTGTCCCAGGCAGCAATCAGCCAAGCTTTGAAGCTGCAAGGCCATTCAATGCTAATCAAGGTAGCCAACTGCAACATTCACACTTGCCTCAAACAGACAAGAGTTCTTTCTCCCTCCCTGGACTTTCCACAAATATATAAACCACACTTGCCTAGTTTCCAACAGGCCTCAAAACCTCTGAGGTTGCCTTTCATGTGGTTGGCATGATTGCATGGAGTGCCGTTATCTTCCCGCCAGAGTGGTACCTATTGATCTACACACACTTGCATGTTTTCGAACTGCTAGGTTGGCAGAAGCTGGGGCTGACAGTGGAAGCTCACACCCTCAGATTCGAACCTGTGACTTTTCGGTCAACAAGCTCCACAGCTTAGTGGTTTAACCCACTGTGCCATGGGGGGGATCCCTAGGGAGTCATATAATGCAGTTCAATGCAGTCTAAATGGATTATATGGGTCTATGTTAGGGCAGTCCCAAACTGCATCATATAGCAGTGTAGCTCCAGCCTTACACAATGAAAACTCAGAAGTGTTTGTTTTTCCAGTTGTTTCCCCTGAATATCATCTACAGACTCCCATTCAAGTTCTAACCAGGGTTGGCCTTGCTTAGTTTCCAAGATTATATGTGATCTGGTGCCTTTAGGGTAATGTTGGTGCGTGCCTTCATGTTATTTCTGGCCTATGAATGAAGCAAAGGTGAATCTGTAATGGGGCTTCTTGGTGAGCCTGTTCAAAATAAGTTTACTATTTGGAATGTCATTATGGTTAGATCCACGTATATGCAACCCAGACTACGGCTTCAGCACCTTGAACAGAGCATCTCTAGAAAAGGCCAGTTGGGCTTCTTTCAGTGCTAAGTTTTGGGAAAATATCCATGTTGTTGGTAGCCCATTCATCCAATCCCTTAAACTGAGATCACTCAAGAAGTAGACCTGAGAATCCCTTACCGTCTTTTGCAGCGTTAGACATGGACACAGGTTCCAACAGTTCATTCGCCTCTGCTATCAAGATGCCTACAACATCTGAAGACGGAGGAGTCGCTTCCAAGGGCTTCCTTGTTTTCTCTTCATCATCCTGAATGTTGGCTCTTAAAAGAAGAAAAAAAAACAGATCCTTTTTGAGATTCCTCTGCTGAGTGTCCCAGGTTTGAATCCCAGCCAAGGCAAAGAATCATTAAGCGGCCTTTTAAGCAATGCCACGGAGGCCTCAACTCACTGCCCACAATATAGGGAAGAGACTAGAATGCATTACAAGATTGTTAAATATTATATCCTCCAACTGCAGGTCCCCCAACAGAAATGATATTCAGACATCCCTCTTGCAAGGGCAGGAAAGATCCAGCATAATCAGAGTAAGCCTTTTTATTCTGAAAACTATTAAGAAAAGAGCAGATTTCCTGAAAGAAAAACCAGGAAAATAAGATTCTGACTATAAATAGAAGGTCAGCTGCTGTCCTCACCCTATTGCCTTGTTTTTTTACTCATGTTCTATTTTGAAATGGTCATATGACTGATCAAATAAATTATTATTATTATTATTATTATTATTATTATTATTATTATTATTATATCCTCCTAATGTTCCAGATTGACAGGGACAGTTCCAATTCATCCTTTATCACTTCCGCTTTTTCAGCTGCTTTTAAAACATCCTAGCTTGTCTCTTCTCTTTGTCCTGAAGTTGCTGCAAACTGAGTTCAAAACAAACAATTCAGCAGAAAGGAGTACAGAAGAAAATGTGGAAACTTGCATTTCCAAGGAATTTTTTTGAGGTTTTTTTTTTCTCCCCAGGTTTTCCTAAATTTGCTCCATACATTCCATATTGTTCTCCTTAAAATATTACTTTTGTGACATCTTCCTCAGTGATAAAATTTGGCCTCTGATTGACCATACATGTTTGAAATGTCCTGGCCTCTTTCCCCTTTTCTCAGTTTGTCCCTTCGTGGCTTGATGGATCTGGGCCAGACTTGGCCCTCAGATTCTTCATGATCCAGCTTAAAATAATGGAGGGGTTTGAACTAAAAGAACCACAAATTCAGGGCCAGAGCAAAGGGAAGGAAAAGGAACAAAGCGGAGTGGCTATGGGTAGGTGAAGTGGCCCTCAGTGATGTCACTGGGAAAGAAAGGGAGTGAAGTGGCTTAGATGCTGCCACTTGTGACTTGTGTGTGAAGGGAAGGGAGGAAGGAAGGAAGGGAGAAAAGTGGGAGAAGAAAGAAAAAGGAGGGAAGGAAGAGAAAGGAAAGGGGAAAGGGCCTGAGGCGAGGCAAGGAAAGGAAGAGAAGCAAGGGAAGAAAAAGGAAGGGAAGAAAGGAGGGAGTGTGGGAAAGAAAAAGAAGGGATGAAAAAGGAAGGAAAGGGAAGAAGGTATATGAGGGAAAGCAAGGAAGCGAAAAAAGGGAAAGAAAGGGAGAAAAGTGGGAGTAGAAAGAAAAGGAGGGAAGGAAGGAAGAGAAAGGAAAGAGGAAAGGGCCCGAGGGGAGGCAAGGAAAGGAAGAGAAACAAGGGAAGAAAAAGGAAGGGAAGAAAGAAAGAAGGGAGGGAGTGTGGGAAAGAAAAATAAGGGAAGAGAAGGGAAGGAAGGAAAGAAGGAAGGAAGGAAGGAAGGAAGGAAGGAAGGAAGGAAGGAAGGAAGGAAGGGGACAAAGGTATATGAGGGAAAGAAGGAAGGAAGCAAGGAATAAAAGAAGGGGGAAAAGAAGGAAGAAAAGAAGAAAAGAAGGAAGGAAGGGAAAAAGATGGTAAAGAAAGGAAGGAAGAAAAATGGGAGAAGAAAGAAAAAGGAGGGAAGGAAGGAAAAGGAAAGGGGAAAGGGTCCGAGGGGAGGCAAGGAAAGGAAGAGAAAGGAGGGAAGAGAAAGGAAGGGAATCATAAAATCATAGACTCAAAGAGTTGGAAGAGACCTCATGGGCCATCCAGTCCAACCCCCTGCCAAGAAGCAGGAATATTGCATTCAAATCACCCCTGACAGATGGCCATCCAGCCTCTGTTTAAAAGCTTCCAAAGAAGGAGCCTCCACCACATTCCCCAGAGTTCCACTGCTGAATGGCTCTCACAGTCAGGAAGTTCTTCCTCATGTTCAGATGGAATCTCCTTTCTTGTAGTTTGAAGCCATTGTTCCGCGTCCTAGTCTCCAGGGAAGCAGAAAATAAGCTTGCTCCCTCCTTCCTGTGGCTTCCTCTCACATATTTATACATGGCTATCATATCTCCTCTCAGCCTTCTCTTCTTCAGGCTAAACATGCCAGCTCCTTAAGCCGCTCCTCATAGGGCTTGTTCTCCAGACCCTTGATCATTTTAGTCACCCTCCTCTGGACACATTCCAGATTGTCAATATCTCTCTTGAATTGTGGTGCCCAGAATTGGACATAATATTCCAGGTGAAAGAAGGGAGGCAGTGTGAGAAAGAAAAAAGAAGGAAAGAAGGAAGGAAGGGGAAGAAGGTATATGAGGAAAAGTAAGGGAAGAAGGAAGGAAAGAAGGAAAGAAGGAAGGACAGACGGAGAAGCTCCATGAGGTAAATGCAGGGAGGAAAGAAAGAGCCACCATAGGAGGCTTCTCAGTTCTTAAGAAAGGAGGTAAGCAGTGGTCCCAATGACATTCAGGTCTATGCATGAGTGAATAAATAAACGCTCACAGAGTTTACAGCGTACAGAAACATTAAGAACAATTCCCCTTCTCACCTCTTCTCCTCTGGCAATGTGCAGGAAGGACTTAATAGCTTCTGGGCGTTCTGGGCAAAAACAGAAAGTGGAGGCATTTTAGTATTTCAATCCTGCAGAAATTAAACTCCTGCCCGCCCTCCCTCCCAGTGGGATATTTTCCTAATTCCCCACATCCTTTTGCTCTGCCCCTGTTGCTACTAATTGCAAGGGTGGCTTGCATTAATCCATAGCAAAAGAAAAGACTGCACAAAGGCCAGCCTGAATAAATCGATCATTTCAATGAGACTGATTAATCCCAATGCTAATATTCAGCTGCAGAAAATAAAGAGGAGAAACGACCAAAGGAGAAGCCCTTTTGTGGTTTAATGTCTAAAGAATGGAAGTGGAAAACAGCGAAACTCAATTCATTGGCATCCAATAGTTCTATGTGCAAATTAAGAGTGCTTGATTCAACACAGCATGATCCCAGTATCCACAAAACCTGATATACACAGTTTTACTTATCCATGGATGGACTTAGGACCTCTTGTAAAAGCTACACCTTTTTCTAGGGACCTCCGCCATCTGTCCCACTGAAAACAATAAAGTTCACTATTATGCATAGTTTTATATATCCTCACAGTCTAGGACAATATCCTCTGCAGATGTAGGGGTCATACTCTACTTGGCAGTAAGTGTCCAAAATGCTAAGGCAGGAGTGGCATGGGGGTTGTTACAACCACTGTTCCCATCATCCCTTATCTTTAGTTGGGGCTGAGGCTATGTCCAAAACTTCCCAAAATCTCTCGGTTTCCATAAGCTTCCTATCCAAATACAAGAGGAATCCGACTGTTTCTGGTATTTATTTGGCTTTTTTAGCAGAATCCTGGACTAAAATAGTTCTTGCTCCCTTCTGTCCTAACAGTAGCATGATATTCTGATGAAGAAGATCCCCAGATCTAGAGAGCTGCTATGGTTTCAGCATCTCACCTGGACAAACAGGAGCAGCTTCCTGTTAAGGATTTCCAGGCGTTTCCGGGAAACTTCGGACTTTCTCAACTGCCCATCAGTCAGGGTTAGCTGCCTTTTCATCTCTAAGACATCATTCTGATTTGGAAAGAGAAAACAAGAGAGTGAAAATGGAAATGGAGAGAAGTACAAGGTGACATCTGTCTCCAGAGTGAAAGTGTTGCTATCTCAAAGAGACCTCAAAAGTGAATTGCTGTTTTTTACCATGTTTCTAGGTGGCATTTCCACACATTTAGGAGGTTTTTTAGTGAATAAAGGGACCAGATTCCATCTGGTGTTGGAACAAAAACAGACTCAGCTCTGATTTGTACTTGGATGGGAGACCACCATTTATACTTGGATGGCAGCAATAGCACAGTAGGTTAAACCACTAACTGCAAGAAATCTGCTGACCAGAAGGTTCACAGTTCAAAACCACGAGTCAGGGTGAGCTCCTGATTGTCAGCCCTAGCTTCTGCCAACCTAGCAGTTTGAAAGCATGCAATGCAAGTAGATCAATAGGTACCACCTCGGAATGCCAAGGCACCCCATGCAGACATGCAGGCAACATGACTGGAGATGTCTACAGACAACAGGCTCCTCAGCATGGAAAAATAAAACAAGACACATTGTGGGAGTTGAAGTCCAAAACACCTGAGGGGTCAAAGTTTGCCCATGCCTTGGTTAGAGGATATTTTAAAACTTAACATCCTGCCCACCAGCCTTGTAAATCCAAACCCCACTCTCCTGACTAAACAGAACAAACTGCAGCCTTTCAGATGTCACTGGATCACAACTCCCCATCAACTCTAGATATGATCTCTAATGATGAGGAATATTGGAGTTGTAGCCAAGCATCTGGAGGAAAGCTACATGAAATGGCATGGTCCAGGGACATTGGGTTGGACACCTGTAGTTTAAAACATCTGAATCATTGAAGGTTTCTCCCACTACACTTAACTGCATGGTCCCATTGCAGACTGACCTCTGCTTCTGAAGCTTGCTTGGTTTTCTTCCCCACCAGCTGAGTTTTCAGCTCCGCGATCTCTGCCTCCAACAAATGGATCACTTCCTCGTAATCTTGCTCTGCACTGTGGGCTTGCCGTTGGGACACTTCAGCCACCTGAAGCTTGCCATGGAGGCTTCGGTTCTCTGAGAGGAAGCCCAGCGCTTTCTGAGGTTGGGGAGAAAGCAAGAGGAAGAAAGGCAAGTCATTCCCACACAAAAAGAGATGAGACTCAAGACCTTGAGAGCCAGTGTGGTGCAAATGGTTTAGGCAGGGTTGGCGTTGCTGTCATTAATGGGAGATCTAGTTCAACCTCGAATATGAGCCAGTATGATGTAATAGTGTGGATGCTAGATTGGGAGACCTTTCACATTAGTTGGCCAATCATATCCATGGATGCAACCATCCACTGCTTAAAATAATTCTCTAAATGGAAACCTTTATTTTTCCATTTTATACAAAATTTATTTATTTATTCATTTACAGTATTTATATTCTGCCCTTCTCACCCTCCAGGGACTAAAGACAGATCACAATGCACATATACATGGCAAACATACAATGCCATAGACACACATAGACCTTTTGGGCTGCAAAGGTCGAACAGCAAACATTCAATACCATAGACATACAACATATATAGACAGACATACAGAGGGTATTTAACTTTCCAGCTTCATGAAGGTATGCTTGAATTCCAGTCACCGGGGGAGCTGTCACTTCACCATTATTTATTATTTATTATTAATTTATTTACTGTATTTGTATACCGCCCTTCTCAGCCTTTCCACTGGTGGCACCGATGGAGTACTTTCTCATTCTTTTGAATGCTGCTGGATATTTTTATGGCGTCATAAATTAGTTAAATTAGCCTCCCCACATAAGCAGTACCTAAATTTCCTACTTAACAGATGCAACTGTCTTTCAGGTTGCAAAGGTTGACAACAAGCTAGACAAATGGTTGGGAGCTTACTCTGACCTGGGCTGGCTTCAAACTCATGACCTTCTGGTCAGTGGTGATTTTAATGCAGCTGACTCCCAAGCAGCTGCACCACAACCCGGTTGTTTGTGAGCTGATTTGAACCTTACTGTTGCTATTATTGGTATTATTTTATTATTGTATATAATTGACTTGAACTCCATTAGGGTATACATTAGGGATCCTGGAACCAAAGCCCAGCAGATACCAAGACCTGACTGTCTATAGTTATAGTGTTATGATTCCACTTTAATTGTCATGGCTCCATCTTATGGAAATGTAGGAAATGTAAACAATCAGGCTGTCTGGCTGAAGATTCGATGTATCCATCACAAACCTGCAGCTAAAGTGGACTCATTGGCATATAATGGTGAAACTTCTTAACACCATGCTTCAAATCCCTGCCATTAGGGGATCATGAATAAGTGACACTCTCTCAGCCTCAGAGGATGCCAGTTGCAAACCCCTTCTGAGCAAATCTTGCCACAGAAAGCCCAGGGTAGCATTGCAGTAGGGATAGGAGAGCACAGAATGGCAATACGAATGAAAGGTACTGGACTGGCTGTTCTTAGGATTCCCACAAATGACACTTTTGGGAAGGTGGAGGAGCGTGGGCTTCTTGTTGGTTAAGATACACGTGCCAGAACACCGCAGCAATGCCTTTGTGCACAACTCACAATGTCACACGTTGCGGTTGCTTAGGGACGTTTTGAACCGCAGGCTGTAATTGCAGGAAAAGAATATCAAACATATTTTTAACCCAAAGAGCACAGGCTCCTCAAGCTTTTCAACAAGCAGAGAAAAAGACTGGGTTAAATTCAGTCTCTGGAAGCATGTTCCTTGAATAGCACCAACCCTGCTCTTAAGCATAATGAAGCTGAATTCCTCATAAATATTCCTCACAAAGCTGCTCCTCTGAGCTGCTTCTTCCCAAGAAGGATATTGATCTGTTTGAAGATGTCTCAAGGAGCAAGATGATCCAAGATCTGGAAGTGAAGCCCTTAGGACAGTGGTTCTCAACCTGTGGGCCCCCGGATGTTTTGGCCTTCAACTCCTATAAATCCTAACAGCTGGTAAACTGTTGAGAAGGTTGAGAACCACTGCCTTAGGGAATCTAGAGAAGGCAAGGCTGAGAAGTGACATGATAGCCATATTTAAGTATCTGGAGGGATGACATGGAGAACTTTTTTTCTGCTGCTCTGAAGACTAGAACACAATTCAAATGAAAAGACAAAATATTCACTTCAACTTTGGGAATAATTCATTACTGTAAGAATAATTCCATAGTGGATTAGTCTTCCTTGGAAGATTTTCAAAGGGGAGCTGGCTGGCCATCTCTCAAGAATGCTTTAGTTGTGTGTTCCTGCAAGGACTAGGCAGCATTTGAGGTCCCTTCTATGATTCTTTGGGTGCTCTACACTGTGGAATGGATGCAGTTTGAGACCTTTTAACTACCACAGCTCAATCCTATGGAAATACAAGAGTTACAGTTTTACCATGTCTTTAGCTGTCTCTGCCAAACTAAAAATCCCAGGATTCCATCTCATTGGAAAGGCAAGTTTTGTAAACAGAAGAAGGCAGCAGAGCAAGTAGGCTGAAGAAGCCAGGATTTCTTTCCCAAAAGCTCTCTTTCAAACTATAAAATTATATTATGGTATTCAATACTATGACTCCGTCCTATGCCACTGCCAGAAGGGACAGGGAGTTTAATCTATGCTGACGATCGTGCCATCACCGCTCAAACAGGGAGCTTTGAAATGATTGAACAGAACCTCTCTGAAGCTTTAGGTGCTCTTACTGCCTATTACAGGGAAAACCAGTTGATTCCTAATCTATCTAAAAAGCAGACATGTGCTTTTCATCTTAAGAACAGACAAGCATCTTGAGCTTTGAGGATTATCTGGGAAGGAATCCCACTGGAGCATTGCAGCACATCCAAATACCTGGGAATTACTCTGCACCATGCTCTGACTTATAAGAAGCACTGTTTTAATATCAAGCAAAAAAAGTGGATGCTAGAAATAATATCATACGAAAGCTGACTGGCACAACCTGGGGATCACAACCAGTTACAGTGAAGACATCTGCCCTTGTGCTTTGCTACTCTGCTGCTGAATACACGTGCCCTGTATGGAATATATCTCACCATATTAAAACAGTGGATGTGGCTCTTAATGAGACATGCCACATTATCACAGGATGTCTACATCCTACACTACTGGAGAAATTATACTGTTTAGTCAGTATTGTACCATTTGATATCCATTGGGAAGTAGCAGCCAATAAGGAAAGGACCAAGGCAGTGACATCTCCGGCTCATCTTTTCTCCGGATATCAGCCAGCATGCCAATGCCTTAAATCAAGAAACAGCTTCTAAAGATCTACAAAGATACTCGCAGGAACACCTCAGCAAGTGAGAGTCTAAAAGTGACAGGTGAAAACCCGCAACCTCAATCAATGGCTGAGTTCGGATGAGAAACTCTCTCCTGGGCACACAGAAGACTGGGCAACTTGGAAGGCGCTGAACAGACTGCGCTCTGGTACCACGAGATGCAGAGCCAACCTTAAGAAATGGGGCTACAAAGTGAAGTCCACGACATACCAGTGTGGAGAAGAGCAAACCACAGAACACCAACTACAATGCAACCTGAGCCCTGCCACATGCACACTAGAGGACCTTCTCACAGCGACACCAGAGGCACTCCAAGTGGCCAGCTTTTGGTCAATGGAAATCTAGTATAATGCCAAGTTCTAACTTTGTTTGTGTTTTCTTAAATACAGTATAACTGTACCCTCAATTCACTTCTGACACTGTAAATAAATATATTGTCGAAGGCTTTCATGGCTGGAATCACTCAGTTCTTGTGGGTTTTTTCGGACTATATGGCCATGTTCTAGAGGCATTTCTCCTGACGTTTCGCCTGCATCTATGGCAAGCATCCTCAGAGGTGAGGTCTGCTGGAGCTGGGAAAAAAGGGGTTTATATATCTGTGGAATGACCAGGGTGAGACAAAGGACTTTTGTAAGTTGGGCTAGGTGTGGATCTTTCAACTGACCACCTTGATTAGCATACAATGGGCTGACTGTGCCTGGAGCAAACTCTTCTTGAATGGTGATTAGATGTCCCTGCCTGTTTTTCTCTCTGCTGTTTTTGCTGTTGCAATTTTAGAATTTTTTAATACTGGTAGCCAGATTTTGTTCATTTTCATGGTTTCCTCCTTTCTGTTGAAATTGTCCACATGTTTGTGGATTTCAATGGCTTCTCTGTGTAGTCTGACATGGTGGTTGTGAGAGTGGTCCAGCATTTTTGTGTTCTCAAATAATATGCTGTGTCCAGGTTGGTTCATCAGGTGCTCTGCTATGGCTGACTTCTCTGGTTGAAGTAGTCTGCAGTGCCTTTCATGTTCCTTGATTCGTGTTTGGGCGCTGCGTTTGGTGGTCCCTATGTAGACTTGTCCACAGCTGCATGGTATACGGTAGACTCCTGCAGAGGTGAGAGGATCCCTCTTGTCCTTTGCTGAATGTAGCATTTGTTGGATTTTCTTGGTGGGTTTGTAGATTGTTTGTATGTTGTGTTTCCTCATCAGCTTCCCTATGCGGTCAGTGGTTCCCTTGATGTATGGCAGAAACACTTTTCCTCTGGGTGGATCTTCACCTTTACTCTCGTGGCTTGTTCTTGGTCTTGCAGCTCTTCTGATGTCTGAGGTGGAGTATCCACTGGCCTGGAGAGCCCAGTTCAGTTCATCTTGGAGGAGGTGGGCTTCGCAGATTCTTTTTGCACGGTCTGCCAAGGCTTTAATGGTGCTTCTTTTTTGACTTGGGTGATGGTTGGAGTTTTTATGTAGATATCTATCTGTGTGTGTGGGTTTTCTGTAGACGGTGTGACCCAATTGTTGATCTGGTTTGCGGATGACTAGGACATCTAGAAAAGGCAGTCTCCCTTCATTTTCTTTTTCCATGGTGAACTGGATGTTTGGGTGGATGCTGTTAAGATGGTCCAGGAACCTGTTGAGTTCTTCTTCTCCATGGCTCCAAATGGTGAAGGTGTCATCCACATATCTGAACCATATCGTGGGCTTTTTGGTTGCTGTCTCCAGGGCTTGTTTTTCAAAGTGTTCCATGTAGAAGTTAGCTATGACTGGGCTGAGAGGGCTCCCCATAGCTACTCCATCTTTCTGTTCGTAGAATTCATTGTCCCACTGAAAATAGCTGGTGGTGAGGCAATGGTGAAACAGCGCCGTGATGTCTTCTGGGAACCTCTGGTTGATGAGTGCCATGGTGTCTGCAACTGGGACCATGGTAAATAGAGACACCACATCGAAGCTGATCAGTTTGTCATTTGTATTTAGCTTGAGATTGCTGATTTTTTCAATGAAGTGGGCTGAGTCCTTGATGTAGTGTGTTGTGAGCCCAATGTGGCTTTGTAACTGTGCAGCAAGAAATTTTGCTAAGTCATATGTGGGGGATCCAATGGCACTCACGATGGGTCTGAGTGGGGTGGAGTCCTTATGGATTTTTGGGAGTCCATAAAGCCTGGGTGGAAGGGCTTCCGATTTACATAGCTGCTGTCGTATGTCGAAGTTGATTGAGGAGTTCTTAATTAGAGTGTTGGTTTTTCTGGTTATTTTGGAAGTTGGGTCTTGCTTAAGTTTTCTGTATGTAGTAGGGTCCAGGAGTTTTCTGATCTTCTCCTTGTATTGTTCTATATGCATGATTACTGTGGCATTCCCCTTGTCTGCTGGCAGAATGAGGATATCAGGATCTGAATTTAGGTCTCTAATATATTGTCTTTCCTTCCTTGTAATGTTACTGGAGGGGAGTTTTGCCTTTTTCAGGATCCTTGCTGCTTCCGCTCGTACTTCTTCTGCTTCTTCCTCCGGGAGGCGATAAATTGCTGATTCGACATTGGCAATTGGTGGTCAGTTGAAAGATTCACACCTAGCCCAACTTACAAAAGCCCTTTGTCTCACCCTGGTCATTCCACAGATGTATAAACCCCCTTTTTCCCAATTCCAGCAGACCTCACCTCTGAGGATGCTTGCCATAGATGCAGGCGAAACGTCAGGAGAAATGCCTCTAGAACACGGCCATATAGCCCGAAAAAACCCACAAGAACTGAGTATAAATAAATAAATCCTATGGAAACCTAGGATTTGCAGTCTGGTGAGTATCTTTGCCAGAGACCTTCAGCACCTTTCCAAACTACAAATCCCAGGACAAGATAGCAAATATCGTTGTCGTCAAAGGAGTATCCAACTGTTCTAATTGGGTCCTACAAAAGAGATTTTAATTTTTGCTCAAATGAGAAGAAATATAGGACTTGTAAAACTCATATCTCCTTTTGAGGTGGATGGGACAGCCCTCCAAAAGGGTAAATCAATCCTAATTTTGAGTTTATATGCAGAGAATCTCACTAGCATCTGTACTGCAATAAGTATCAGGCTGCAATTTGATCCATTAATTACTTGCACAATAGGACCAATCAAAGTGTAATCTAAACGCTTAACCTTTGTCTGACCTGGTTCAATCTCTGGAGCTCCTCTTCCATGGACTTCTTGTTGCTCTCTACCTCCTTCAAGAGGGACTGGGAAAGAAAAAAAGAAAGGTTAATTTCATGTCATCAATTCAAGCAATGCTTTCCAAAAATGCCCTAAACTTAGTGCTGTGTGATATATCTCTGCACTAAAGATGTAAATTCCAACTAATTTGTCTTCGCTGGTGAGAACAAATAATTAAAGCAGTGCTCTCCAACCTTTGGGAGAAAATGAATATTAACCCACAGCTTTCTTACTATATTCAGAACTCCCAAAATGCTGTACAGGAATTATTCTGCAGAGAAAACATGTGGGTTTTTTTGGCATGAAAACCCATTTCCTGCCTAGAGAACAGGCTCCCTGCACAAAAACTGAGTTTTCTGCCCAGGAAGCAAGTTTTCTGCATAGAAAATTGTTTTATGCAAAAATATGCACAAAAGAATTACTAAACACCTTGGAATGTAGAATATCAAGGGAAAATGGAGCAAAATACTCACTGGTATATTGTTCTTCCTGACACGGTTTCCAAACTGTCAGAAAATTATATTTGACCTGATGTGAATAATTACAAATATTATTTTCACCCTTACTTTGCACTTTATATATCTGTAACTAGTAGGTCAGGAGCAGCAGTGGTGCAATGGGTTAAACCCTTGTGCTGGTTGAACTGCTAACCTGAAGGCCAGGGGTTCGAATCCACAAGACAGGGTGAGCTCCTGTATATCAGCTCCAGCTCCCCATGCGGGGACATGAGAGAAGCCTCCCATAGGATGATAACACATCAGGACATCCCCTTTGCAACATCTCTTCAGAAGGCCAATTCTCTCACACCAGAAGCAACTTGCAGTCACTTCGGACAAAATTAAAAAAACTAGTAGGTTGGTTTACCTATCATAGGTTTCCATTGAGGAACCATTGCTTTTAAAGTAACTTTTACATTTTATAGTGCAATTGTATATGACCAGCATACTCAAACTGCACCCATGGCCCCATTTCAAGCATGAATTTTAAACTGAGTTTTATTGGTGTTGGTATTTTGTTGCGTGCATTTTGGTGTATTTATTTTAACAGTGTTGTATTTTTTCTGTTTGTTTGTTTGAACTATATTATAATCCACCTCCAGCCACAAGTTAGATGGTGTTGTTAACCTGTCCACAGTGGCACTACAGGTTAAACCATTGAACTGTTGCATCTGCTGACCTAAAAGTTGGCAGTTCGAAGCTGCGGATTGAGGTAAGCTCCTGCTGTTAGCCCTAGCTCCTGCCAAACTAGCAGTTCGAAACAATGCAAATGTGAGTAGATCAATAGGTAACGCTTCAGCGGAAGGTAATAAAGGTGCCCATTAAGCCATGCTGACAATACAGCCCAGAGGTGTCTATGTACAACAGGCTCCTCAGCTTGGAAATGGAAAAAGAACACCTCCCCATGGTCAGAAGCCAGAGATGAAAGGGGAAGCCTTTACCTTTGTTATGTGTATTCATGTGTCATTGTTATTTCACAGTATTAAAGGTACTGAATGTTTATCTGTGTATGTTGTAAGTCCCCTCGGGAAGATAGAGCAAAATATAAATAAAGTGTATTGTTGTAGCTGTTGTTGCTGTTGTTGTTGCTGTTGTTATGCCCCCTTGCAACAACCAAGATGGCATTTGCAATCCCTAATCTCCAGAGAGCACTTGTTTTCTAGCAAAAGGAGCAAGAATTCTCTCTCCCAGAAAGCTCCAGGCATGATGATTCACCTTGAAATAGATTGTGAGCATCTCTCAATATGAAAGAACGATGCATTTCTTCATTGCTGTTAATATTTTTTATTTCTGAGTTCAAAGCATGCTGAACGGAAGGCGGTCTCAGATGGCTATCCAGTATCTGATCTAACTCCAACATCAATGCATTTGCTTTGTGTTCCTTGAAGACAACCTCTCAATGTGCATATACTCACTTTTAACCTCCGGACTTCTTGCCGCAGGTCTGCTGTTTCCAGCTGCAGTTGTTCCATCTCTTCACTGTCGGTGCAACTGATAGAGTCACATGTCTGTAATAATAATAGAACTAATAATAGTAATCATACCATCATCTCTCTATATATAGAAATCAAAGTATGCATGTATGTTGGTTGGTTGGTTTGTACAACAAATGCTCCTCTGTGGCTTGATGAATCTGGACCAAACTTGGCCTACAGATCCTTCAAAAATTGCCAGGTTTGAACTAAAGTAACCACCATTTTCGGGCTAAGAGCATAAGGGGGAAATAAAAGTGGATTGGCTGTGGTTAGTTGAAAGATTGGCTGTTGCTAGGTGAAGTGGCCTCTTGTAATGTAATTGGCAAAGAAAGGGAGCCAAATGGGTTGGTTTCTGCTGGGTGACATGTGTGTGCGAGGAAGCAAGGAAGGAAAGAAGGAGGAAAAGAAGGGGAACCAAGAAAGGGTGAAGAAAGAAGGAGAAAGAAAAAAAAAAGGAAGGATAAGAAAGGGTGAAAAATAAACAAAAGGAAAGAGTAGGAAATAAACAAAAGGAAGGGAAGAAAAAAGAAGAAATAGGAATGGAAGAAGGGAAGGAAGGAAGAAAAGGAAGGGATGAGAAAGGAAGAAAGATAAAGGTAAAAAGAAAGGGAAGGTGTTTGAGGAAAAACAAAGGAAGCAGGAAGGAAAGAGATGGGAAGGAAGGGGGGAGAGAGAAGGTGTATGAAGGAAACGGTGGGAGGAAAGAAAGAGCCACTAAAAATGCATGCTGGGACAAAGACATGCATATTATCTGCATATATACAAATAATAGTAATAATAATAGTAATAATAACAACAACAATAATAAAGGAGAAGCATTTCACCATAAGAGCAGTGAAAGAGACACATGTCTGGTTGTGAGATAATTTTTTCTAGGGCCCTTTGACTCTGCACTGTTAAAGCACTATGATTCCACTTTGACTGCCATAGCAACATTCCACAGAATTCTGGAATTGGTAATTTAGGAAAGAGTAATTAGACATTCCCAGCTAGAGAGGTCCAGTTCCTCTGGCTACAATTTTGTAGATCCACAGTTGAACTCATGCACTTCAACATCACTTTTAACTGCCATGGCTCAATGGTGTGGAGTCCTGGGAGCGGTAGTTTGGATGATTTGGGTACAAAAAGGGATGCTTTGGATGCAGTAATGGCCATGGTGGCACAATGGGTTAAACCCTTGTGCTGTTGAACTGCTGACCTGAAGGTCAGCAGTTCAAATCCACGGGATGGGGTGAGCTCCTGCTGTTACCCCAGCTCCTGCCAACCTAGCAGTTCTAAAACAAGCAAAAGTGAGTAGATAAATAGGTACTGCTTCAGCGGGAAAGACATAAGATGCTTCAAGCAGTCATGCTCCACATAGGCTACTCAGCTTAGAAATGGAGAACAGCACCTCCCCCAGAACCAGAGATGAGCACCACCTCCAAAGCGGAAATGAAAGGAGAAGGCTTTGCCTTTGTTTGTGTGTCTCATTGTACTTTTAACAAGGCATTTAATGTTTGCTGGTATCTGTTTACACTGTAATTCGCTTTGAGTCCCCACGGGAAGAAGGGTGGAATATAAATAAATAAATAAATAAATAAATAAATAATAATAATAATAATTATTATTATTATTATGCTTTGTACAAAAACAGGGTTTTTTTAAAGGAGGAGGGGTAAAACTCTTGCAACGGTTGGCATCATGGCACTCTTTTTCATCTCAGGTGAGTTTTCCTTACAATCAGGCAGTTGGAGATAGATAGCTGGTGGCTGACCTGGGAATGGAAAGCTGACGTATCCAGCAAAGTGGCCACTTCGTGTTGAGTGAAGAGCACAGAATTGGAATTGACACCAGCCTCTTCCAGCTCCTCCGGCAGGACATCTCTGACAGCTTGGAGGAAATCTGAGAAAAAAAGGGGAAGGAAGAAGAGGCACCTAGAGTTAAGGTGGATACATTTCCTTGTGATTCTGATTCTAATTACAGCTGGTCAAAGGCTGCTCTTGGACAAGGATGATAGGAGTTGCAGGAGAGGAGACATTTTTCACTCACCGCCATAAGCCACTGTTCCTTGTGAGTCTGTAGTCAGACTCTGCCTGAGCTGCCTCTTCTTCTCCTCACTCACGTCAAGACTCAGATACTGCAGCATCTGCACATGCAAAGCCATGCAGCGGACACCAAAAAGTGAGCATTGAAGGGTGGAGAGAAAGATAAGAGCTTTGAAAATAATCTTTCTGTTTTTTGTGACTTTATAATCTCAAGAAAGGTACGGTACAGTTTATGAAGCAGCAAGTGCAGAGGAAGCAGGCATTTCTGTCGACTTGGCACCATGGAGTGTTTAATGCTGTACACTTCATGGGAATGCTGTAAATTCATGGCAACTTAAAAGTACACACACACACATATATTGGGTGAGCATTGCTAGATGGATTTATCTATAATGACGATCAACTCCACAATTCCCCCATCAAGTCAGAACCCAGTCTTCTAGATTTGCATCGATATCCTGGGTCAGAAATGAACTGAAATGAATTCCTCTTCTCCCTAGTGTCCATTCAATTCAACAGGATGTGCACTGCATCCTGTTTAGAAGTGTATGGTTTTCGGGGGCAGGAGAAACATTTTGTGAATATAAGATGTATTCCAAGAACTGGACTGTAAGTTTTCTGTTCTCATTATTTTACAAATTTTGGACACTTGGACTTTTCCTAGAAATCAAAGCAATCAAACTGTCAGAAGTACTTTGATGGTGTTTGCCCTGCATTTCAAGGGAAAAGACTAGATGGCCCATGACTAAATGGCTCATGTGGTCTTGTCGAACTCTATTATTCTAAGGATCTGAGACTGAAGAGTAGGAGAAAGAGAGGAGAAGAAACAGAAGGAGGAGAAGCAGGAGGAGGGAGAAAGTTTTGAGAGAGAAAATGGGTCCTCTGATTTGCTGGCCAGACTCACCAGTTCAAGTTTGCCATCTTTGAGACGAATGTGAGGATCCAGGGTGACTTTGGGCTTGGTGGCTGGCATGGCTCGCTGGTTAGATGGGGAAACAGGAGCTGGAAGGCAATAAATCAGAGTTCAAGAACAAAGAGAGGTCTTTGAAGGCCATTAGGCAACTCGGTGCAAACCCCTGCCTTGGACGTTCTTGGAAGGAAGCCACCTTGATGTCCACTCCTCATTCCCAGGGCTATCTCCACAGCATTATAGACTGCTGGGCAGAACTGTGCACTAGCACTGTGTACACAAGCATTCACAGGAATAGGAATGGAAATCAGCAATAAAATAAACTTATCTTTACTGGTAACCACATAATAAATCTGCAGTTTCTTTTTCCTTACTTCTCAACCCATCACTACACAAAAACAACTCTTCCAATGCAAACATCGGAGACTCAGCTTTCGCAGTGGTTCTCAACCTGTGGGTCCCCAGATGTTTTGGCCTTCAACTCCCAGAAATCCTAACAGCTGGTAAACTGACCAGGATTTCTGGGAGTTGTAGGCCAAAACATCCAGGGACCCACAGGTTGAGAACCTCTGCAATAAGGGAAATTCACACTGTCAGCAATGGTCGTCCCTAGCCATTAATTGCGTCCCGTGAATCCATTATAACATTCTGCTTCCATAACATTGCAATCAATAAAACGGGCAATGCCGTTTTATTTTTCTCACAAATGCAGACATGCCAACTCTCTCATATTTGTTCCCTTTCTACTGAACTAGTGGCGGGTGATTGGAAAATTAGTACTAAATTCTAGTTTGTGCCTAGATTAGCATGGGCCCCCTTCCCAACCTGTGAGGTCATACATTAAGATAGAAATACTTCCTATTGAGACAGCCACACAATCAAATTTGCCTCTTGGGTCGGAGGAGATTTTCCCGAAATGTCGGAAGAAGCCACAGGGATCCCGCCATCGCAAGAGTAATCCGGCTAAATCCCAAGACCTCTTGGCCCCCGCCAGGTGCCAAAGCTTTGTGTCTGCCCTGATAGGACTGAACGGCTGGGTTTGTGGGATTTGTCACCCACCGGAGTTTGGCCGGGAGGGTTCAAGGACAGAGCGCCTCCCCCTCTGGCTCCCAGTTAATCAGGATTTAGCTTTGCTCGGGGCAGGGGTGTCACTCATCAGTTTGGAACACAGTTCTTCCAGGTGAACCAAAAGGCCAGGCGGCACCCACGACTTGCTTCCTCGAACACAGATGGCTTGTCTGGTTCTAGCAATACCAGGCTGGATGGAATCAGTCTTCTTTTAGGGCACGGATTGCTCAAAATAACTCTCAATCTCATTTTTGACCCCTTTCCAGCTAGACTTTGGCCTTGGAGGGCTAAGGGGACTTTGCACGCATGTCCTGGCTTCCAGAAAAGATCAATTTGGCATCGACCATCAGCTGGAGAAGGAGTTTGCTTCATTCTTCCCTTCCAGAAGCAACACTTGTAACAACAGTGTAACTGAGATTGAGTTCCTGTTTTCTTCTTCTTCTTCTCTTTGCATCCCTTTTTCTTTAGTTTCACATCTTTTACATTACACACCTTCCCGAAAGGCCAGTCTTTATCACTTGACTTTGTAAACAGTTCCATTTCAATCAAACAGCAGGGTTAATTAGTTACGTAAAGTTTGAGTATCCCACATCTGAAATGTTTGGGATCGGCTCTGGCTCAACTTACCTGTTCAAATGTATCTACCTCTACAAACCCCCAAGGACTTTGATATCATCTGGAGAGACCCTGCTCTTGGTGCCGCCACCATCACAATCACATTTGGCGGGAACAAGAGACAGGACCTTCTTGGGAGTGGCCCCTCAGCTGTGGAACGCCCTCCCTAATGAGATTAGATCTGCCCCCTCCCTCATTACCTTCCGGAAGAAGCTCAAATCCTGGTTTTGGGATGAAGTGTTCATGTATTTATAACTGTTTTTAATATAGGTTAAATGTATTTTATGCTGTGTATTGTTTGTCACTGAATGGTGCCTGCTCGTAGCTGTCCTGAGTCCCTCTTCGGAGGTGAGAAGAACGGGATAGAAATGCTATAAATAAATAAATAAATAAATTTGTTTTGTTTTTTTAATTTCAGAATATCTATATTTGCATAAGGTAGTGGTTTTCCCTTGGCATTAAGTCTAGTCGTGTTTGACTCTGGGGTGTCTAAGCCGAAGAGCCGGCATTGTCCATAGACACCTCCAAGGTCATGTAGCTGGCATGACTGCATGGAGCGCTGTTTCCTTTCTGCCGAAGCAGTACCTGTATTTGCATATTAGTACATAATAATTATAACACTACATGTAATATTACTAATAATATTACAATATAATGGTATAGTACAATATAGTAATATATAATACTGATATTGTGCTATCCTAATAATAGATAATATAATGCCGCTCTGAGTCCCCTTTGAGGTGAGAAGGGCAGCATATAAATGCCATAAATAAATAAATAAATAAATAAATAAATAAATAAGATATTTTGGAGATGAATCCAAGCGTAAGCAATAAAATTCATTTGTTCTGCAGATGTGGTCAGGGGATGAAGGAAGTCAGTGGCAAAGCTCCTCTGAATAAACTGTGCCAAGATTTTAGAAAATCAAATGGAGGTTGAAGGCACATAGTGGCCAGTGCATTATTCTTATTCACAGAGTGTCACTGTCTCTCTGAATTACAAATCCCAGTATTCTGCAAAATGTTGCATGGTAATTAAAGGGAAATTACCCATATAATTATGGATCCGAATCAGTGGCCACTAGGTCAAGAAGTTCTGTATCTCGAGTCATCACTGTCAGAGTTGGAAAATGGTGTAGGAGGACACTGATCTATACTTGCTAAACCAATGGCCAAAATTAGCTGATTAACTTTGGCAGACAACTTCCTTGGCACCTGTACTATCTCCTCCTACGTACACAGAGGGAAATCTTGGCACTCAGGAGCTCTGTATTTGGGTTTACACTAGAAATACAGGGCAAGGGAAATGATTAGCACCTTCCCGGCTGCGTAGTACCACTCTGGAATCCACCACCTGTTATTTGCAGCTGTGATTAGCAAATGCTTAACACCACAGGGTTAGGAAATAAATAGGGTCTAAATGCCCTAAAAGGCATCAGATCTTGGAAGCTAAGCACAGTCCATTCTGGTTAGTATTTGGATAGGAGGCTGCCAGCTGTGACTCCCAAACCTCCCTTCCAAATTATTCATGCTTCTTACCCCTTCCTACAGCAAATTGACCCCTAAATGCTATTTGTACTTGATTCTTCCCATTTTTGGCCAAAATAAGATTTACCTCTACAAACCCTCATACATTTATTTAGCCTAAATTGGCCTGTGAGGAAAATAACAATGTCACAACCCTAGTCATATTATGAACCAAGATGAGCTAAGCCTCAACCACCCTGGTGTAACCCTACAAAGCATACCCTGAATAGGAGGAAAACCACTTACCAGATATGGTGAGTTCTGGAGGGCAGATATCTGGTGATGGAGAAGGCACTGGAAAGGGACTGTCATGTCTGCTCTGGAAAAGAGAAACGTAACAGAGGAAATGAAGGCGAGAGGGAACAAGAGGGCCTAAAATGCAAAGATCTCTCTTGCCCAAAAGGATAAAGACAGCCTCTGAGAATGCCTGCCATAGATTTGGGTGAAACACCAGAAGGGAATGCTTCTGTAACATGGCCAGACCACCCAGAAAATTCACTGGATCAAGGGAGTGTGGTTTGAACAACCCTACTATCTAAACTGGTGGAGTCCAACTTTTGGTTCTCCAGGTGATTTGGACTACAACTCCAAGAATTCCTTACATTAGACAACTGGCTGGGGCTTCTGGGAGTTGTAGTCCCAAACACCTGAAGAACCAAAAATTGGACACCACTAAAGCCCCCTTGTATCCAGGCTGCAATTATTTCTCTTCTTTCAGCCTTCTTATCCTTCTCTTTCTTGGTGTAGATTTGACTCCTTCTTAGGAAAATCTCTGTTACCAAAAGCAGTAAGACATGACCAAGATATTTTGCTGCCTGAGGAGGACTGTGAAGGAGCAAAACACCCAAAACCAGCCAAATTGTGTTGGTCTTGCTCAAAAGACAATGGCCAAAGGCATCTGTTTCATTTTATTGAATGGTATGGCCAATCCTAAAAGAGAAATGGCCTGTCAAGGATAACCCTAAGCTTCTCCTGTTTTTCCTGTGACTTGTTTGTGATCAGAAGCACCTTCCAGACTGAGGAAAATTAACATAAGGTGAGAAGGAAACTGTTACAGGATGGATAGCTCTCCCCCAAAATGCTTGGAACCAGAGCCCCCTACCCCACCCCATCCCCGACTTTGGAACACATGTATTTGTATATATGTACTCCGTGAGATCTTTTGGTCTAAACACAACATTAATTTATGTGACATCACTAAATTAAGATAAACAAAGCCATCAAGGAGTAAAGCAGATCCATAAATCAGGAAAACATCAAACCCTAATATTAGTTGTCAGAATGAGGGTTGAAAGCAACAAAGCTACCAGGAGGAGTTGTCTCCAGACCCCAGGTGCTTAAGTCAGCCAGTGTCTCTTACTTAATAGCTGCTGGAAAAATTACAACCTCTCTTTGTTTCTTCCTCACTCAATTAATTATGATAATGAACCTTCAATATCTGAAGCACCTGTGGCCCAGTGATGTCCAGGTGAGGGATTTTGTAATGATAAACATTAGAAGTAGTCATTGTGTGCTTTTGGATTTTATGAATGGTCCCATGAAAAAAAAATAAGCATGTGGGTAAACTACAACTCCCATCACCATCTGTCATTGCCCCCAAATGACACCAATATTTACAGTTCTTCATGTTGAGTCCGTGTACTACATTTGGTCCAGATCCATCATCAGTGGGAGTCATAGTGCTCTCTGGATGTGAGACCATATTGGAAAATACATACAAACATAGATACAGGCAGTCCCTGAATTGCAAACATCTGACTTACAGATGATTCTTAGTTAAGAATGAGGCTGAGACAACAGTCTCAGTGAGAGGAATCATCCCCTTGACAGGGAAATCCACTTCTGGAAGAGTTATCATGGGAAAAGAGGTATCCACTTTTCCCAGCTTTATCTCCAATCCTGGTTGACACAACAAGCCAAAATTTTCAAAACCCAATGTTCACAGAGACAGAAAATGCTGTGAAATCTTATGAACATGGGCACAGACAGCAAAAGAAACACCACAGGGGTGTTAACTCTTCCCTATTCAATCCCAAAAGCATATGTGTGTGTGTGTGGAGTTACACTTAAAAATTTATCTGTTCTAACTTACATATGACTTTAACTTAAGAACAAACCAACAGAACCTATCTTGTTCATAATTTGGAGACTATCTGTGTGTGTGTGTGTATACACACACACACTTTGATTTCTATAGATGTATTGCAGTCTTGTGCTTGAAACATGTTTGTACACCGAGTCATCAGAAAGCAAAGGTGCCACTTTCTCAGCCAAACCCTGTGGATGAATCTGGAGTATTCCAGTTTTGGGGTTCCAGATAACAGATACTCTGCCTGCAATGGCTACTTAATAAAAATCAGACTCCATCAAGGGGAGGGAGAAGGCAAGCAGAACCCAAATAGGGCCACACAGCCACTTCCACAAACTACTCATCTGGGAGGATTGCAGACCTGAATTAAAGGAGATTTTCCCATGGACAAAGGGAGGGGATTTGGGTGGGATTTCAAAGGTCTTTACCTCGGGGGACCTGACATGGACTTTCAAGCGGCAAGGACCCAGGCCATTCCCAATGGCCTTCGTTGGGGAGGAATGGATGCTGTTGTGAGCCAAGAATCCTGGATGCAACCGGACCCGTCCAGGAATGAAGGCCACTTCAGTGTTTCCCTCATGTCTGAAGAAGAAAAAAAAGAGCCAAATTATTGTGGTGGTAGCTGTAGATGAGGAGGAGGAAGAAGAAGAAAACAAGGAAAGTTGAAACATCACATATCCAGGATGGCTGCATAATAATGCCTCTTTCACACTATACAATTACAGGGAGACCTCAATTTCCAGAGTTATACGTTATATATTTTTGGTCAGATTGTGATTACCTGAGACCACAGATATGACCAAATTGCATTACATTGCTTGACCTCTGATCCCCTGTTGAATTGGATTGGGGGACCTAGACATTCCTAGAGATGTATCTTCTTTAGGAATTTGACCAGTCCTCCCATGTAACTTGATGGTAACTTTCCAGGCAAACACACCATAGAATCACCAGAAGGTCCTATCAAATTCCTGAACAGACCATTTTGCCTTGGGGAAGTGAAACCATGGATAAGGGTTCCATGCTTATGGGGGGTCTTATTATATAGCACTATAGTCTGCCTTAATGGCCATGGCAATAGACAGCTTAGTGCAGTGGTTTGAATGGTAGACTGCAACTGGGATCAGGGTTCAAATCTTGACTTGGCCATCAAGACCCACTGTGTGATCTTAGGCAAGTGACACTCTCTCAGCCTCAGACAGAAGCAAACGCAAATGCCTTTCTGCCTTGTGGTCACCATAATTCAGAAAATGACTTCAAGGCACACTACTACTACTACTACTACTACTACTGCTACTACTACTACTCATTGGTTGAAAATTCAAGATGTATGCCTGTGCTTTCAAGTTGTCTGTCAACTTATGGCAACCCCATGAGTTGAACATAGGGTTTCTTAGGCAAGGGATATGGTTTTGCCAGATCCTTCCTCTGAAATACAGCCTACAGTACCTGGGATTCATTGGCAGTCTCCCACAAATGCTAACAGGGCTGCCTCTGCTTAACCTCAGACAGGATCTGGCATCTTTAGGGAATTTCAGGAGCCCAAGCATTCTTTCTGTCTTGCTCTAAGCTGCTGATACCAGCAACCCATTTGGACACCTACTACAGTCAGAGGCGGCCCTAGGTAATTTTCAACGGTAAGCAAACAGTATTCCCCCCCCCCAAACCAATCACTGATATATATTTTCTGTTTGTCGTGGGAGTTCTGTGTGCCATATTTGGTTCAGTTCTATCATTGGTGGAGTTCAGAATGCTCTTTGATTGTAGTGAACTATACATCCCAGTAACTACAACTCGCATATGTCAAGGTCTATTTCCCCCCAAGAGCGCTTCAAGAGTGCCCCTGGGCAAAATCAACTATACTGCAAATGCTTACTTTGCGTAATGGGTTGAGCCGCCCCTGTCTACAGTGTCCTCTATCCCAGGATGCGATCCCTGATTTTCTGCTGATCCCAGATTATATGGCAGTGGAGACTCATACAATCTAGTTCAAAGCAGTTAACCTGGGATCGGATCCTGGGGTAGAAGGACAGTGTAGAAGGGGCCTCGGGTAGGAGCACAACATTTGGGTGAAATCACAACATTAGCATTATGTAGGGTGAATGGTCTTTGATGAAAGCTAACTCTGAAATGATCCACTGGATTTCTGCAGTGCTCAAAAACTCTCACGGGTAGTGTGGTCAGGATGCCATGCTTACCTGAACTTTGTCTTGGCTAAGATCCTTTTGGCCTCTTCGTAGGTGGCACCCACCAAGGAGTCCTTATTGACTGCAATTAGCTGATCACCGACCCGCAGACGCCCGTCCTGCAAGAAGAAAGATCTCTATGATACCCATCTGATAGGAACAAGGAGAAGGAAGGCTGTCAGGAACGAAAGGTTCCAAATCAGAAGAGGACAGGCAGTGTTACCTATTTGTTCCATTGATACTAAAATCGGCTCAAATCCCATTCTATAATATGGTGCAGTATCACGATGTCCTGTACAGGAAATGTCAAAATCAAGCTTTGCTTTTTGGATTTCCAAAACTATTTTCACAGTGTGCATGGTGTACAGAATTTGTGGATACAGAGAGCTGGTCTTATTTCTTCTCTCCAGCTCTACATGGAGCTGCTGTCCATGGTCCTGACTCACCACTCTTGGTTCTCTGTATATCAGATCACTGTAAATGCCTCACTTTGCCCCTAGTGGTGCAATGGGTTTAAACCCTTGTTCTGACAGGACTGCTGACCAAAAGGTCAGCGGTTCAAATCCGGGGAGTGGGGTGAGCTTCTGTTTGTCAGCTCCAACTTCTTATGCGGGACATGAGAGAAGCCTCCCACAAGATGGTAAATTTTCTGATGACGATGTTTGCTAATTATAGTCACATTCCATTCATTTGACTAGGCTTCTCTCTTTCACTGGTTCTTCATGCCAATAAGGTTTGCATGGGATTGCTTCTTATTTTTGGTTTTTCAGTAGCCCAAATGCCTTTGCAAGCACTGGTTCCATTTCCCAACAGTGTTGTAGTCCTTAATCCATCAGATAAGCAGGATCTTCCTATACTATTACAGCACTTCAATATCACTTTAACTCCCATGGATCCATCCTGCAGAATCCAGAGACCAGCAGTTTTGTGAGGTATAGTAAGACCCTATATAACCATGGAATTTCAGTTTTATTTACCAACATCTGGAGGGAAATTGTTTTCCTAGGCATTTGCTAGATTCTCCAGGCGATTCTATATGCATCCATGAGAAGTTACCATAGATATTCATAGGAAGATCTAGCAAATTCATAGCAAGGATATCTCTCTAAGAATCTCTAGGTCATTCAACACAACTTTGTAGCATGTTGGGACTGGAAGTCAGATAATTTAATGTCATTCAGTCATATCAGTGGTTTCAGTAACTGCGATCCAGCTGGGATCGTGACTTTCATGGATATGGGAGGCTCACTCTTTAGAATTCTTACTAGAAAGCTATTGTCTTATCAGACTACTAATCTAAAGATGCCATAAGATTCAGATGCTGGAAGGAAAACAGTGCTGGAAAGACAACAGTAATAGCCAATGGGCACAAATATGGTGCTGGTCCTTGGAACATAGAGAACAAAAAGCCTGCCATCCACCACAACAGATAACTTCAGAAGCAATTTTCCAAAATTCTAGTACAGGGTTGGATTTAGTTCCTTGGTTCCTCTCCACTGAACACTCTTCTTCCTCAAATTGTTTAACAACGGGCACTTTGGAAGAACAACTACTGCACACACACAAAAATATAGCAGTGTTAGATGACTGACATCCCAGTGCTTGGCTCACCCTGAAGCAGTCTCCTTCTGCTTGTAGCTCTTGGACATAGACCATGGGTCCATCTGGCCTGTTGGCCCCTCCACCCACGGTCAGGCCCAAGCCAAAGGATTTGGCGATTGTGATGCTCTGGATCCCGGTTTCAATGGAGCAACTGCACAGACGAAAGGTAACAGGTTAACAGCAGCCACAAGAGAAACCCTGCATCAATAAACCCTGCATTTCCTCCAAGATCCTGTTGCCATCAGTGGTTGGACTTTATGGCTCTAAAGAGAAAAAACGTGGCTCTTCAGATCTCCCTGGACTACAACTCCCATGATCAAGGAAAGGATAATCATGACATGATGTCACATTGGAGAGGAGGAAAGTGTGTTTTCTATTGCTTTAGACTAGGACACAATGGAGCAATGGATTCAAATAGGAGGAAAACATTTTCTACCTAACCTCAAGAAGAAGTCCCTGATGGTAAGAACTACTCAGCAATGGGATATCCTGCCTTGTAGTGTGTGGAGTCTCCTTCTCTAGAAGTTTCCAAAGAAAGGCTAATGCCATCTGTTGGGAGTGCTTTGATTACATTGTCCTGCATGGCAATGGATTGGACTGGGTGGCTCTGGAGGTCTCTTGCAGCTTTAAGATTCTATGAAGCATGATCACAAATGGGTAATAGATTTCAGTCAACTCTTTAAAACTTCTCTAAAGCAACATGGCACATACTGTGAGAGTGTGTTTGGTGAATGTCCTGGGTTTCCGATCAGTGGTCCATGGGAATTGGCTGGGCTCAGCAACAAAGGACTCTGGGAACGAGATGAGGACCCCGAGGATGTGCTTTCCAAATATCTACCTAAAGAACAAGTTCAAAGATAGTAGTTTTAATATGATGATTACCCAACACATTTTGCTGAAAGACACTTATTGAAGGACGAGTGATAGCAGACCAAAGGCCTGCACTCAACACTTGTTGCCAAGGCTACAGTTCATCCATGGCACTTGATAAATTAGATATTTTCCCCAGATGGACATAACCCAGAAGTTGCCAACTGCTAGCACCTCGAGTATACCCTTTTAATGTCCCTTCTTTTCTGTAGTCTTCCCTACTACTTTTGATGGTGAATCTAGGATATTAAATAGGTTGGGAACATTGTGTTGTTGAAGGCTGTCATGACCGGAATCACTGGGTTGCTGTGAGTTTTCTGGACTGTATGGGTATGTTCCAGAAGCATTCTCTCCTGACATTTTGCTTACATCTTTGGCAGGCATCCTCAGATGTTGTGAGGTCTCTTGGAAACTAGGCAAGTGGGGTTTATATATCTGTGGAGGTTGGGAACAACCTTCATTTACAATTAATGAAATGATTTGAATGATGAATTATTCTCAGGATTCAATTTGATTATCTGGAAAATGTAGGAGCTATACTTTGGAGATAGTCCATCAGGTCGTCCAGGAAATGTTGGAGAGCCAAACTCCATGTCCATAAGACCAAAATACTTGTCTGCTTCTTGCTCCTAACATTTGTTTAATGGAAACATGTCTTTGCCAAAGCAAAGTCCCAGCCTGCACCAGAAGCTTTTTCAGCTTCTGAAGGGAGACAATGGATGTGGACTTCACTTTGGTCCAGATGGCGAAAACTCACCTCCGCCGTGGAGAACAGGTGAACTGCGTGCTGAACCAGTGTTGCTGTGAGAGCCGTATTTCTCCAAGAGCTCGGAGAACTCCCTCCTGAACAAGAAAGAAAATGTCCATGTTACATTTGCACCCCACCTTAATAAAACAACCAACTACACAATTGTTTTCAAAAATGCTTCAAAATGATGTGCATGAAATGCATCCAAATTTTTCCTCTCCTTTGTTTAGTTTCTAGACCAAACGGTAAGTGAATGGGAAAGGTCATATGGAGTGCACACACTGCTGCATCCTGCAATAGACAATGGCCAGAGAAACAGCATTATGCTTCTTTCAACACAAACTAGATGTCTTCATGAATCATCCCCAAAAACCAGGCAGGGAAACAATAGCCATCTTGCCTCATCCGTCTCTAGTCTCTGATCTGTATTTCTCTCCTCTTGATTCTGAATACTGTACTTGACACAGTTTTGGAACAACCCTCTGGCGAAATGGCACCCAGCCCTTTGTTGAAAGTGTTAGTGCTACAAACCACAAAATCCTGTTAGCTAAAATGCATAGCCCTAGGTTGCAGTAGGAAATGTATGAAGACATTTGCAAATCTGGGTGACATCTTATCTAAGCCGACGAACAAAATAATTAGCCCATTATATGGCCAAATTCAATAGGCATCAGCATTTTTTTCTGTGTATTTTAATATATGTGTTTTGTAGAAATACATTTTAATTTGCCTATTTTATATAAGGTTATGGTGGTTATGTGTTATGAGCGATGTTGTAACCCACATCAAGTCATGAGGTGAGCCAGGTAAGTGATAACATTATTATTATTATTATTATTATTATTATTATTATTATTATTATTTTAAGAACATTACAACATATTATTATTATCACTTATAAGAATATTATTAATTATTATAACAATATAATAACACCAAAATTAATAAGACCATCAGCCCTGGCCTTGTCTTACTCAACTGCTGAGTATGCCTGCCCAGTTTAGCACAAGTCTGTTCACACGAAGCAGGTGAACATAGCACTGAATGAAACGTGCAGAATAATCACATGATGTTTCAAACCTACATCTGTTAATAGACTCTATAAGCTAGTTTTCATTGCCCTCCTGATGTGCAATGGGAAGTTGCTGCTAACTGGGAGAGGAAATAAGGGTGAACACTGTGAGAGCCATCCACTGCATGTCTATCAGCCTCCTCCCAGTAGACTCAAATCAAGGAAAAGCTTCATGAGAACCACTACTCCTCTTAATGTTCCCTCAGCAACAGCAAGTGTATCCCTCTGGGCAGCTAAATTGGGAAATCCCAATGGGATGGTCCCCCACAAGGGTCTTCCTCCAGGGGCAAACCAAGATTGGGCAATTTCTAAGTCCCTAAACAGACTCAGAAGCAGAGTTGGCAGATCAAAAGACAACCAGGCAAAATGCACTGCCTAGAAGAATCATCCATCTTGTGTGACTGTGGAATAGAACAAACAACTCCACACCTGTATGCTTGTCCACAATGCCCTGCCTCATGAGGACGAATTGTTTAAAGCTACGGTCGCTGTTGCCTGGTTTTGGTCAAAAATTATTTAGCCGCTTGTGTTCCTTCTATTTTTATCAGTTTTATACTTATTTATGCAATGCTTTTGACACAAAATAAATAAATAAATATCATCATCATCATTTATTCCCAGTTTCATGGGGATTATGTTGTATTTCATGTAGCTGTTTAAAGATAAGAGCTGCAAGAAGAAAGTGACACCAAGTGACACAAAGGCTAATGGCAGAATACAACCAGAGTTGAATACTAAAGCATTAGGTTGTAGTAAGCCCTCAAAACTCTGGGTTCAGGTGGGTGAACCTGGCAATCTTCTCTATTCATTCCCCCCCCCCCCCAAAAAAAATCTCCTCTTCTTTTCATAGAGTTCAATTTCAAAAGCGCCTATCAAAGCAATTCCAACAAAATTTTTCCTAAGGACAGAATAATATTCATCTAGCTCTTCTGCCAACCTAGTAGTTTGAAAACATGCAAATGTGAGTAGATCAATAAGTACTGCTCTGGTGGGAAGGTAATGGTGCTCCATGCAATCATGCTGGCCACATGACCTTGGAGGTATTTATGGACAATACCAGCTCTTTGGCTTAGAAATGGAGATGAGCACCAACCCCCAGAATCGGACACAACTGGACTTAATGCCAAGGGGAAATCTTTCACCTTTACCTATTCTCAGGTCAGTACTACATTGTAAATAAGCTGATTCTTTCCTATTTGTTTTCTTCACTCTTCACATAAAGATTGAAAACATGATGGTATGGAACATCCTAACTTTAGTATTCAATATTCATATCTTGACCCTTCGGGATCCTGTCTAATTCCTCCACAGCTGCCCTTCCAAGTCCTAGTCTTCTTCAGATTTCCTGACCGGAGAATGAAGGAATACAAGGGAGAGGAAACTACTTTAGTTTTCCATCCAAAACAGGACAATATAGTTGGGGATTTGTACTCCCATCTTTAATGCACACTTTGTTCAGAAGTTGAACATAATAAGAAGTTGAACATATTTTAGAGCATACATTCAGAAAAAAATTCCCAGAGGGGATCAAACAACGTCTTACCGGGCATCATCATCACGGGCGATAAGAAGGCGCATGTGGTTGGTGGCTGAAGCTGTCCTGAGGATATCCACAGCCCTATGAAAAGTGAAGGGGGAGAAGAGATGGGGGAACTAAGACCGATTCCACACTACGCAGTTCTTGCACTTTGATGCCACATTAACTGTCACAGTTCCACCTTAATATATTTCTTGAGCTCTTAAACTCTGCAGTTGAGAGGAGTGCACCAGACAAGTCCTTTAGCAATTCACAAATCCCAGAACTCCATGGAAACTAAGGCTGCCATATAATGCTGTTTCAGAAAATAGATTACCTGCATTGAACTGGATTAGATGACAGTGAAGATTTGTACAATCCAGTTCAATGCATGTAATCTGCATTCTGAAATTGCCTGATATGGCAGTATTGATCCAGCCTTAAAGTAGTCTCAAACTATGCAATATTTTGCAAAGGCATGACTTTTTAGAGATAATAACCTTTTAGAAAACCAGAAATCTCCATAGCCTTTTGGAAGTGTGACCCTTTTGGAGATTAATTGGCATTTACACTATTTGGAATAAGCATAACCGTTTAATAAAGTATGTTCTTCCTGAGAAGAGTTTAATACTTTTTTGAGTAAATCTCATCTTTAGTGGTAAATATCCACTAGCATTCATGTAAGGCAATTTAGGTTTCTCAGTTGTTAGACTGATATGCCTGGCTAATTTCTCTGAACCGTTAGGAATAAAGATATGCCAATACACAAAATATATAGCAGATCTCCAGAAGTGTTATTGGTTTTAAATCATGAGATTTAAATCATCAAGAGACCAAAAAATAAGTAGTCTTTGTTAAAGGTAGCATAGTTGATTTACTTACAAACTTCATGTATTCAGCATACGGGTATATTTCTTATTGGTTCAAACTTTAAACGATAAGTTCTCTAAAGTATTCTGTTTCAGTCTCTTTGTTGCATACAGACTAACACTCTCTTCAGTCTAATACATTACTGAACATTGACTCAATAAAGACTGACACTGACTACTGCATACTAACACTTCTGACGTCATAAACTGTACTGCTTCTGATGCAAACTAACTTCATACTTCTGAAATGGAGTCTGAGTCTGAATAGTCCCAGATCTGGTCACATTGTCTACAATCCCTTCCACAACCTCAAGCAAAATAGAGTTAAGGGAAAACTGCATACCATACATACAATATAGTAAACAATCTGAATTATATACATAACAAATTATTACTATAGGAGGGTTGTAGAAGGTTGCTATTCCCAACACAATATGGGTTGCAGCACACCAATGACAGCTATTTATTTATTTATTTATTTGGTTAGGGCTCTGCCTTTCTCCCAAAGGATGCTGACTCAAGTTGGCCAATAATGTTGAGACCAGTTCCAGAACGCCACAAAACAATGTCCCATTATTAAATACAGATTGAGCATCCCTACTTCAAAACACTTGAGAACAGAAATGTTTTGGATTTTATTCTTTTAAAAAGCAAGACCAAAATATCTCAAGGAAATGCCAGAAAAATGCCGGATATTCGATCAAGGAGGAAGTTTAGGAACAAAGCTCTTCAACAAGGAGATAGAGTGACAGCACCACCACTGTGGCTGGAACCAAGCACAACCCTCCACGATGCCGAAGATGGGAAAAGCCTACATATACCTCTAGCTATGTACAATTGTCTGTCTTGTCAGTGTATAATGGCATTGAATGTTTGCCACATATGTCTGTTCTGTCATCCGCTCTGAGTCCCCTTCGGGGTGAAAAGGGCAGAATATAAAACTGTAAATAAATAAATCAAATGGGTTTATCTTTTCTAGCCCAAAGGTAATTGTATACAATATCTTTACTAATCTTGTGCATGAAACAAAGTTTGTGTACACAGGACCATCAGAAAGCAAAGGTGTCATTATTTCAACCATACATGTGGGAAATTTCAGAATTAGATTTGGAATTTCAGAAATTGAAAGAAACTCAGAGTCCTTTTCTAATATCTTACCTCTCGCTGGTGACACCAAGAAGGCTGTCTCCATTCACTTCTAAAATCTGGTCTCCCGACTGAAGGCGACCTAAATAAATACATTTTAAAAATTAAACTTGATCTCTGATTTGTCAAATGAACCCTGTTATATAAAACTACTGTGGGAGGAGACAAACAAGAGATTGGGTTGTTGTGAGTTTTTCAGACAGTCCTGGAACATGGCCATACACCCCGGAAAACTCAGCAATCCAGAGATTTCAGCCATGAAAGCTTTTGACAACACATCAAACAAGAGATTGAAAGGAAGTTATTTCCTATTCAACTCCTCTTTAAGCACCATCTATACTGCCATATAATCCTTGTCAATACAGCCCTTGAAAGGAAACTTATAATTTGCATATATTCGCAAACCTATGCAGCGAGTCCTTGGTATCCACCGGGATTTTGGTTCTAGGATCTGCATGGATACCAAAAGTAATGGACACCCGTGTCCCATTATATATAGTAAAATGGGGTCCCTTATATAAAAGGGGAAAATCAAGGTATGCTTTTGGATTTTTTTTAAAGAAATTGAATCAAGAATGGTTGAATCCACGGATACAGAAGGACAACTTTACATTTTACTCGGTGACTGTACTGAAATCATTTGCAAAAAGTTTAGAAAAGTGGTAACTAATTTCATGCCAGCTGGGGAAAACATTCCTATAGAACTGGGTCAAAACAATGCTGGACTTTTCAAAAACTTGAGGAGATTGAGTTTAACCCATCTGTCCCTCATATCCCAAACTCTAACCGTACAGTGGGTTGCTGTGAGTTTTTCGGTCTATACGGCCATGTTCCAGTAGCATTCTCTCCGCACATTCCACGTGCATCTATGGCAGGCAACCTCTGAGGATGCCTGCCATACATGCAGGTGAAATGTCAGGAGATAATGTTTCTGGAACATGGCCATACAGTTCGAAAAACTCACCGTAATCCATTGATTCCAGCCATGAAAGCCTTTGACAACACATCTAACCACACAGTTCCTCGTTCTTTGTGGTCAGCTGTTCCCCAAATGGATTTCATTTTGGGAAACCTGTCAAATGAAACAACTCACCATCGACATAAGCAATGCCTCCAGGTAGGATCCGCTTGACATAAACTCCATATTCCTCTCCGCTGAACTCTTTAATCCCACCGATCACTTTGATACCTTGGAAGAAAAGACAAATCCATTAGAGGGAGCCACCTCAAATCCAATGAAAGCCTTCAACAAGTGTTTGACTGCATCTGGTTGGCTTTGGAGTTGTAGCATCCCCATTCTGTTTATTGATTACTAGCTAAACCCAATAATGCTTCGCTGCGGCTCAGTCTGAAATGAAATGAAAGTGAGAGTAAATAAAAGTATTGTTGCGAAAATTGATTCACCAAGAAAACACATCATTCAATTCAATACCCTGCCTTGCGTTGTTGTGTCTATGTGGAATGAAAAGAAAGGGGGGAAAAAATAAGAGGGTTTTAACAGAAATCCTTTTTAATTGTAAAGCTAGTGGATTGATTACTTTTTTTGGATTGTCCATTTCTACATAAACATAAAGATCAGACGGTTTTCCGACTCTGGAGCATGCAACGTATAAGTGCCCCTGAGAGAAGCAATTGTTTTCTAAACTCAAACGCACACTTGCAAAGATTTCCCCTTGTGCTTTATTGATAGTCAGAGCAAAGGCAAGGCATATTAGAAATTGAAGCCATTAGTACTTGAATGCCATGTCAGTTGGTATGAGTGGTATGCCAATAGTAACTAATCACAGATCAGCATTCATTTTTTATACTGCTGAGGTGAAATGACAGCTGCTCCGTGATTGGTTGATTTTTCTAATACTGCTGAGGAATATGGAAAGCTGCACTGTGATTGGTGTTATTTCTTCTTTTATTGAGGTGAAATGAAAGCTGCTTTATGATAGGTTGTTATTTCTTTTACTGCTGAGGTAAAAGGAAAGCTGCGCAACATTAGGTTGCACGAGTTCAGTTTTCATTTCTTATATTGCTGAGGTAAAATGAAAGCTAAGCTGTGAGTGATTGCTTTGTCCATCACAGACAACACTTTGTCTATTCCCGGACTGCTTGATTTACTTTAAATACTCACATGTGAACAAAGGCAACGTTGTGTCAAAATTTCATGTTACTATAAAAGCACGTGTGTATTGGAATGCAACGTTGTGTTAAAATATCAAATCAATGGACTGACTACTTTTCGAGTTATGCAGGCTGAGATTTTATATATACAGATATCAGTCTATGATTCCACTTGAATTGGCCTGGCTCTATCCCGTGGAGACCTGGGATTTAGAATTCTTGACCAGAAAGCTCTATGTGCTTCCAAGTGGCCTGTTGACTTATGATGACCCCATACATTTAAAGGGTTTTCTTTTGAAAGGAAGACTCAGAACTGGTTTCGCTCCTTTCGTTCTCTAAAATACAGCCTAAGGCACCTGGGGTTTGTTGATGGTCTCCCATCCAAAGACTAACTGGGGCTAACTCTACTTAGCTTCCACATTCAGAAGGATGGTGGTGCCTTTAGAGCATTTAGACTCAGTTGCATTATAGAATAAATGCAGTCTGACACCACTTTAACTGCCATCGCTCAATGATATGGAATCAGGGGAGATGTAGTTTTACAAAATCTTAAGCTGGTGGCTCAACAAACATCAACTCCCAGGATTCCACAGCAGTGAGCCATAGTGGTATCAAACTCCATTCATTCAACAGACTAGATGAGAGCTTTCCAAATTATATGTCGTGGGTTGGCTACAGTGCACAGGTTTGATATGCAGATATAATCAGAAACTTTTCAGTCTATGTGGAATAAGCAATTAATAATACATTGATCTATCTATACGCATGATAAAAGTGAAAATAGGTATGTGTGTATGTGTCTGGGATGTCCATTTAAACAGACAAGCTCCAGCCTCCACAAACAGCTATAGCTCCCACCACTCAGGGGACATCAATAGCCCTCCCTCCAATGCAGGTTATAGTGAGTGCCATGAACATGTCCAAGAGCCCTGCCAATGTCCTCCACAAACACCATACTGCTCACCACCCAAGTGAAGGCTTTCATATGGGGACAATTTCATCCTAGATTTTATGTTTTTCCTCCACCACAGACATCCCAGTGTTTCTCTCTCTCCATTGGTGTGGAATTTGCATGATCCTGTCCACTGCCTCTTCCATAATCCTTTCCTACTCTTTCCTATGGCACACAGCAGACACAAAGGAATTGATCAGCAATTGCTCATACTGGAGGGTGACTCAACATGTAGAAGTTGTAGTTCACCCTGCATTAAGACAGAGCACTGCAACCCCCATAAACAATAGACCTGGACAACATCTGGCACACTGAACCCTCATGACCAAGGCAAAATACTAGAAAGGGTTGGGAGGAATTCATCTTGATTTATAGGAGTTGTAGGCACTGGGGTTTATAGTTCACCTGCAATCAAAGAGAACTCTGAATCCCATCAATGATGGACCTGGAACTAACTTGGCACACAGAATCCTGATGACCAACAAAACATACTGGCAGTCTTTGGGTGGATTTATAGAAGTTGTAGTTCACCTACATCCAGAGAGCACTGTGAACCCAAAAGCCGATGGATCTGGACCAAACTTGGCACGCATGCCTGATATGCCTAAATTTGATTACTGAAAGGGTTTGGGAGAGATTGACCTTGAGCTTTGGGAGTGGTAGTTCACCTACAACCAGAGAAATTGTGATCGCCACCAATGATGGACCTGAATCAAACTTGGCGCACAGAGTCCCCATGACCAACTGAACATCCTGGAGGGGTTTGAGGGGAACTGACCTTCATTTCTGGGCATTGTAGTTCACCTACATCCGGAGACACTGTGACTACAACCGACAATAGACTGGGACCAAACTTGGCACATAGAACCCCCAAGACCAACTGAACCTACTGGAGGGGTTTGAGAGGACTGACTCATAATAGTGGGAGCTGTAGTTTATCCCGCAGCCAGAGACCCCATGGACCCCACCAATGATGCATGTAGAGAGTACATTTGTCCAACATGACACACTTTAAGCACTGATGGAGTTTCAGGGGATTGACCTGGCATAATGTGAGTTATAGTTCACCCACAACCTTATGCATTTTGTACAATAAAATAAAAAATGACTTTTTTAAATAACCCGGGCAATACCAGGTACCCAAGCTAGATGTAAATATATATACATGGAAAGTTTTCACAAGATATATTGTCTCCCTAGACATTTTGTTATTACAATTTATTGATGTGTCTATCTATATATATAAAAATGCTCTGTGCGTAATGAGTACCTTCAAAAAGAAAAAGAACCAATGAATGAAATCACACCAAATTTGGCAACAAAACGTCTGACAACACAAGGAGTGACCATCACTCAAAAAATTATGATTTTGTCATTTGGGAGTTGTAGTTGCTGGGATTTATAGTTCACCTATAATCAAAGAGCATTCTGAACTCCACCAATGATGGAATTGAACCAAACTTGGCACACAGGCCTCCCATGACCAACAGAAAATACTAGCAGCGTTTGGTGGGCATTGACCTTGAGTTTGGGAGTTGTAGTTCACCTACACCCAGAGAGCACTGTGGACTCAAACAATGATGGATCTGGACCAAACTTGGCATGAATATTCCATATTACCAAATATGAACACAGATGGAATTTGGGGGAAATAGACCTTGGCATTTGGGAGTTGTAGGTACTGGGATTTATAGTTCAGCCACAACCAAAGACTTTTCTGAATGAACTCCACGAATGACAGAACTGGGGCAAACTTCCCACACAGAACCCCAAGACCAACAGAAAATACTTAAGGCCATCCAGTCCAACTCCCTTCACTAGGGCAAGAAAACGTAATCAAAGCCCTCCTGACAGAGAGCCATCCAGACATATATATAAATAGATATATATGATTCACACACACAGAGATAAAGTATTATAGATTTGAAAGGGACTCTTAAAGATGGACAATTATATGTTGCATGTTCCAGAGTAGGCAAACCAGACAATCTCTATGTCAACACTGTCAAAGAAACATCAAGAAATACTGTTTACCCACAAGCATAAAGACATTACATATATTAGAAACCAGCACTTTCTAATTACTTTATTTTCCATATCACCAGACTGGGCCACAGCAACGAGTGGCAGGGGACCGCTAGTCTCTTATAAAGGATTAGTTTGACCTCTGGTTTGCTAGTAAAACTGAATTACTGTGTTGCCAAAATGATATGTGTCCAAAAAGGTGTGTCACCAACATGAAATGTTTGGAAAGCTCTGATCTAAGTACACCACAAAAAGCTACAAATCCCAGGACTTCCATAGGGTGCAGCCATAACAATGAAACAAAGTGCTATAATGGCACAGAGTTGAAGGAGACTGGGATTATTTAAGGAGGCAAACAATAGAGGCAAACAATAATGCAACAAATCACAATGGCCTTTCCCCCCCCGATCAGCTCAAGTTGACAAAATTGTATTTGTCTCCAAAGGAAATGCAATCACGCCGGATGTCTACAGACATCAGGTACATTGATAAAATTTATCAAACAAAATAGGAGCCCCCGGTGGCACAAGGGTTTAACCCAGGCATGGGCAAACTTTGGCCCTCCAGGTGTTTTGGACTTCAACTCCCACCATTCCTAACAGCCTACCGGCTGTTAGGAATTGGTAGGAGTTGAAGTCCAAAACACCTAGAGGGCCAAAGTTTGCCCATGCCTGGGTTAAACCCTTGTGCTGGCAGGATTGCTGACGAAAAGATTGGCGGTTCGAATACGAGGAGTGGAGTGAGCTCCCATCTGTCAGCTCCAGCTTCTCATGTGGGGACATGCGAGAAACCTCTCACAGGATGGTAAAACATCCGGCTGACTGGGCAACATCCTTGCAGAGGGCCAATTCTCTCACACCAGAAACGACTTTCAGTTTCTCAAGCCGCTCCTGACATGAAAAAAATTGAAACAGAATGTAAACCTACGATAAGGTGTTGTTGTTGTTGTTGTTGTTGTTGTTGTTGTTGTTGTTGTTGTTAAGCCTGTGACTCTTTCAATTTTCAGCTACCTGCCTATTCTCTGCTCAAAGCACATCTTGGAGGTTCCTACTTTGATTTCTTCCACTTTGAACTCGGTTTGCAACAAGTAAAAGAAGATGGAAGAGGAAGAGGAAGAAAAGCAGCTGAAATCAGGACAATGGAAGGTATGGAAATATCGGTATTTTGCCATTCCTTTCAACCTTTTGACTCTTATGGTCCCGTTAGAAAGCATGCTAGATACTTGCATTGCATTCCTGTTGAATACACAGGTAAACTATACGCTAATACTTTCCAGACGAAAGATTTCAGCCTCTGTGTGCCACCATGTGCAGCTAGGGTTTTTATAACCAGAAATAAGAAGAAAAAGAAGAGTAAATACGAACTGGCCAAGTGCTGGTCTGCTAACACTCTCTTGTGGCTATATATAATAATTGGGGAGGGGGGGGGGGGGAATCAGCACCAATTCACCAAAACATCCCATTTGGGGATTTCAATGTATGGAGGCTAGACAAATCTCATTTTTAAAACTGGAATTCTAGAGATGTCAGGGATGGAGAGAACACTTTATCATAATCATCTTCATTATCATCATCCTCACCCTCATCATCCAACCAGCAACATGGCTCTTCCTTCCTTCCTCCCTTCCCCTCACACACATATCCCTTTTCTTTCCCAGTGACATCACAGGAGGCCACTTCACCTAGCAACAGCGAATCCATCACCTAGCAACAGCCAATGCAATGACATGTCACCACAGAGGGCCACTTCACCTAGCAACAGCCAATCCACCATCTAGTAACAGTCAATCCAGTGACATCACAGACAGCCACTTAACCAAGCAACAGCTGACCCAGTGACATCACAGAGGATCATTTCACCTAGCAACAACCAGTTCAATAACATGACATCACAGAGGGCCCAGCAAAAGCCTTTGTGACACAGACAAACAAACATACTTTACCAGTTTGCTACCGGGCACAATTCAAAGTGCTGGCTTTAGCCTATAAAGCCCTAAACGGTTCTGGCCCTACTTACCTCTCCAAATGCATCTCCTCCTATGAACCGACCAGGACATTAAGATCATCTGGGGAGGCCCTGCTCTCTGTCCCGCCTGCATCACAGGTACGCTTGGTGGGGACGAGAGACAGGGCCTTCTCTGTGGTGGCCCCTCAGCTGTGGAACGCCCTGCCTGTAGATATCAGATTGGCCCCCTCCCTGCTGGTGTTTCGGAGGAAAGTGAAGACCTGGCTATTCGAACAAGCATTTGATTAAACAGTGTAATTGAACATAGGAATACGGAATAATGGATGACGAGACTGGATTCTGATTTTACTGTTGAGGCGCTAATGATTGTTATACTGAAGTTAGTGATTTATGTTATAATTGTTTTAATTGCCTGATACTGTTTTGTAATGCTGTATATTGATGCTGTTCACCGCTTTGAGTCGCCTGAGGGCTGAGAAAAGTGGTATAGAAATAAAGTAAATAAGTAAATAAATAAATAGATAGATAAATTTGACACACGCATGCATTTATGATAATAATTGCAATTCATTATTACAGTGTTGGACAGCAATCTTGACCATTTACATGTGGCACATATGGCTTAAAAAGGAAATGTGATGCTCAAGGCAATATTAAATCCAATAAGAAGGAAAATATGACGACAATAAAAAAAAACACGTTATATCCCCACCCCACCCCCACCTTGCCATCGAAATATGAATGCATTGGACACAAATGCTGTGCGAGTAATCGCTGGTTTTAATAAACAGATTGGATTTTCTTTTGACATTGTTAGGGATAAAGAAGGATTTGCCGAGAGACTCTGAATACATTAAAACATTTTCTACAAATGATCAGTGAATGCATGAAAACAAATTAATTTGAAATGATGGTGAGTCCGTTGGTTGCCTTTTGTGCCAGTTGGCAGGAGCTATTTGCACACAAATTTGTGAATATAGGTTGTCCCCGAGTTACAAACATCTGACTTACAAACAACACACATGGTAGTTACAAACACGGCTGAGTCAACAGGAAGTGAGAGAAATCTTCTCTCCTGGAAGCTCTTTCCAAATTAAAGCCAGCCTTCCACATTTAGTTTTTGCAGATTTGATTATTTGCAGATTTGATGGCTCTGTTCTCTCTAGGAATCTCTGCTGCCCCACTCCCAAATTTACTTATTTTTCTTTTCCTTTTCCTCAGATGGAAGACACGTGTATATAGGCTATATTATATATGTAAGTATATAACAACACAGCACACATGTATATTAGTTCAAAGTATCTGGGATTCATCTCTCAATATCAAGCTCTTCCCAAGGACCTAGGATATTAGAGGTATTGCATATTATATATGCAATATAATATACTATATGTTGTATAGCAGATTGGTTAAACTGCTAGCTGCAGAAAAAGCTGCTGACCGGAGGGTTAGCAGTTCGAAGCCACGAGTTGGGGTGAGCTCCCAACTGCCAGCCCCAGCTTCTGCCAACCTAGCAGTTCAAAAGCATGCAATGCGAATAGATCAATAGGTACCACCTCAGTGGGAAGGTAAAAGGGTGCCCCACGTAGACATGCTGGCAAAAAGATCAGAGATGTCTACAGACAGCAGGCTCCTTGGCATGGAAAATGGAGCAAGAGCACCTCCCCATGGCCAGAGTTGAGCATCGCCTTCAGACACCAAAGATGAAAAGGGGAAAGCCTTTACCTTATATGTGTGTTGTTTGTAGTTTGTTGTGTTAAAAGGCATTGAATGTTTGCCTTATATGTCTGCTGTAATCTGCTCTGAGCAGAATATAAATAAAGTTTATTATTATTATTATTATTATTATTATTATTATTATTATTATTGCTCTAAATATCCTTTCCTAAACTACAAATCCCATTATGGTACACTGGTTTGAGCACTGGATTAGGACTCTGGAGACCCAGGTTCAAATGTGTTCATGTACTTCTGTTCAAGTTTTACTACTTATACCTTTTTGCTTGTGGACTTATCCTGTGCCTGTGACATCTGGCTGTTTCTGGACTTTGTCACCTCTGGAATTTTATGAGACATTTGGATTATTGTTTGGTTATCACCTGTTGCTAAACCTTTTTGGATTATATATCTTCCTTTCTTATTCCTGCTTTTTATTATTCTTTGTATGTGTTTTACAATAAACTGTTGGTCAGTGGTTCTCAACCTGGGGTCCCCAGATGTTTTTGGCCTACAACTCCCAGAAATCCCAGCCAGTTTACCAGCTGTTAGGGTTTCTGGGAGTTGAAGGCCAAAAACAACTGGGGACCCCAGGTTATATTCTTGGACTCTTTTGTGGTGCGGTGGTCATAGGTGTTTCCAGGCCTGGAGTGCAACAATAGGTAAAGTAGAACCACAGCACTATAACGGCGTAGCTTGGTTTCAGCTTTCTCCACGCTGCAAGCATCTTTGCGTCTCTGCGGCATCTTTTTTTACCTTGGCTAAAGTTGAAAACCAGCTACAGGTGAGGCAAGCTCAGCTTCAATCTAAGGGGATGAAGACCAGGATAATTGGATCTCCGCTTTTCAGAGGAGCCCTGCTTAACTACTACTACAGTTAATTTCCAATTAATTATCGCCGGCAATTGCCAAGGCTCCCTTAGTATTTCAGCTCATGGAGCTTCATGGAAATGATATCCTATTCTAGGGAAGAAGTGGCCAAACAGTAGATTGGGCTAGAACTCTGCATGGTTTGCAATGGGTCACAAAAGGCACCTAACTCTAAACTATTTCAATAACACCAACAATAACATTGACTTTATTTACCACAAGTCACAGTCTCTCAGTCTCCAGTTTCCTGTGAGCACACTTTTCCAATGAAGCCCTAGATTAGAGTTGCCATAAGTCACAGCTGGCACATGCAGCACACAGCTCACCAAGACCACATAGCTGAATCATGGCTCTTTGATACCCCTTTAAGTGCCATTGCTCCAATTTATGGAAGCCTTGGGTTTGCCATTTGCGGGAAAGAATTAATTGAGATTAGACCAAAACTCCTTTGAAATGAAAAACCTACAACAACCCAGTGATTCTGGCCATGAAAGCCTTCGACAATACATTGAAATGGAATCAAAGTGCTATAACTGTTTACAGTTTGCCCTGCACTTTTGCAGATAAGTTGACCATAAAGTCATGCTGGAGGAACTAGACATTCCTATATAAATATTCTTTCATATTTCATAAAAAATAGCACTTTAAATTCACAGTTTTCCCACTTTAACAAGCATTCTGCACCCCTATCTCCTATGGAAGTGGAGGGCTTGCCATAGTACAGCGGTTCTCAACCTGTGGGTTGCAACCCCTTTGGAGGTCAAATGACGCTTTCACAGGGGTTGCATAACATCACCGAAAAACACATATTTCCGATGGTCTTAGAAACTAAGACATAGCTAACTTTTCCCCCACCCCCTTCACTTCTCTGGAGGGAGGTGTTGACATTATTCAGCTCTGCTGCCTCTGCCCCTTACACCATTTTAGGAGGAAGAAACAGGAGCAATGGAGGTGTGGTTTGCTTTGGAGCCAAAAGGGAAGAGGAAGGAGCAGGAGGAGGAGGAGGAGAAGGAAGAGGAAGAGAGAAGGAAGAAGGTGGAAGGGCCCGGGAGGGGGCTGGGGGGAGGGCAGGGTTTGAGAGGGGTGGAGTGGCCCCTCCATGGCTAAATCCCAAGGGGAAAGAGAAGTAACAATGAAAATACATCCTGCATATCAGATATTTACATTACGATTCACAACAGTAGCAAAATCATAGCATCATAGAGTTGGAAGAGAACTCGTGGGTCATCCAGTCCAACCCCCTGCCAAGAAGCAGGAAAATCACATTCAGAGCATCCCTGACAGATGGCCATCCAGCCTCTGTTTTAAAGTCTCCAAAGAAGGAGCTTCCACACATTCCAAGGCAGAGAGTTCCATTCATTCAATGGGCCAAACATCTAGACATAATATGCCTAAAGAGCTTTGGTTCTTGTATTTGTAGATCAGCCTTATAGGAACAGATCTTTGTGGGATGTGACAGGATTGTAAGGCAACAACATGAGGTCTCTTTAGAAAATCTTTGGGTCCTCTTTGTTGTCACATAGTACAAAACCAAAGGCTAAACACTCACCCAGGCCATTGGTGCAGTCATAGAATTCGATGCAATGCACGGTCCGATCCATGCCATATGGTCCCATTAGTGTCCTGAAAGTAGAAACCAAAATGAAAAAGTGGACTTTGGATGTCCTGTGGATGGCAATAGGATTTCAAGCATCTCCTGGCACTAACATATAAATGCCCCCTTGATCTGTTTCTCAAGCTCTTGTGATTAAAACCAAAATTTTTCATGCCATAGTCATTCAATTTGCTATCTTGGTTGCAAAGATTGGACACAGTGCTAAAAAGAAAGGTATGGAAATGAGAAAATTAAGCCTGAATTCTCATTAGAAGCCAAAATTAGAAAACTCCAGCTACAGTATTGTACTATGGACATCTGTGGTGGTAGGATCCTTCAGAAAATACTGTGCTTTAATGCTCAGTAAGAGGGTTTAACGATCACAAAGACAGCAACTCCTGCCTGATCTAAGAAGCTAAGACAATGTCAGCCCAGGTTAGTCCTTGGATAGGAGACCGCCAATGGATACCAGGTGTTATGGGCTGTATTTCAGAAGAAAGAACTAGCAAAACGACCTCTAAGGAGTCCATGCCTAAGAAAACCCAATGAAATCCATGGGGTCGCCATAAGTTGACAGGTGTTGGAAGGTGCATATACAGACAAGGCTGTGAAAGTTGGACAATGAAGAAAGCAATACATTTGTCTGATATCTACAGGAGGACAGTTATCGCAGACTGCCCCAAAGGCAAGTACATGGATCCAAAAGAAAATGTCCTCTACCAGAGATTTCACATAGATTTTGGAAAGCATAGAGGATGGTACAGATCTCTGTAGAACAGTGGTTCTCAACCTGGGGTCCCCAGGTGTTTCTGGCCTACAATTCCCAGAAATCCCAGCCAGTTTACCAGCTGTTGGGATTTCTGGGAGTTGAAGGCCAAAAACATCTGGGGACCCCAGGTTGAGAACCACTGCTGTAGCAACTCAGCAGTGAATAGCTGAATGACTGAAGAAGAGTTCCCCAGTATCAGCATCTCAGGATGTTCAGCCATGAAAGACCCAAACCACTGCAAGGCAATACCTCTAAATCCCATAATAGCGAGATGACTTGGAAGGATGCCATGGTTGGTGGTATCAAACGCTGCTGGGGACCCAATAGAGACCCATTTCTCTGTCTATCTCCTGGAATAGATCATCCACTAAGGAAGGCATGGGCAAACTTCAGCCCTCCAGGTGTTTTGGACTCCAACTCCCACAATTTCTAACAGCCGGTAGGCTGTTAGGAATTGTAGGAGTTGAAGTCCAAAACACTTGGGGGGCCAAAGTTTGCCCATGCCTATACTAAGGCAACCAAGGTTGTTTCTGTCCCAGAGCCAAACCTGAACCCAGATTAGAATATACACCATATACACACATACACCTTTTCACTTTTATTATTATGCGTATAGACGGATAGATAGATAGATAGATAGATAGATAGATAGATAGATAGATAGAGATGCATATAGATTTATTTGCTTGGCTTCTGTGATCAGTAAGTTTAGGCTGGTATACTACTCTGACAATGTCAACATTGGTTGAGATCCTTCAGTCCAGCCTGAACATTATCTGGCAGATTCATGTTACGCAACCCCTGTGATGAATGTGAATCTATTATCAACGTGCATAGAAGAAAACCCATTGCATAACGACACTACACAATAGGCAAAGCCAACATCTAACAGGCAATGTCCACTCACAGGCTGTGCTGATACATCTGATTTTGGAAGTTAAGCAGGATCAGCATTACTTAGTATTAGATGGAAGGCCGTCAATGGATCCTTGATGCTGTAGGCTATATTTCAGAGGAAGGAACTAGCAAATCAATCTCTAATGATCCTTTGCATAACAAATCCCAATGGTGTTCTGTATTTCACATTTTTCGAACTTTGGAATACTTTAATATACATAATGGAGATGGGACCTAAATCTAAACATGAAATTCATTGTGTTGTCGAAAGCTTTCATGGCCGGAATCACTGAGTATCTGGAAGTTTCCTGGGCTGCGTGGCCATGTTCCAGAAGCATTCTCTCCTGATGTTTTGCCCACATCTACGGCAGGCATCCTGAGAGGTTGGCTAGTTTCCAACAGACCTCACAATCTCTGAGAATGCCTGCCATATATGTGGGTGAAACGCCAGGAGAGAATGCTTCTGGAACATGGCCATACAGTCCAGAAAACTCACAGCAACTCAATCAAATTCACTGATGTTTCACATACATCTTATACACGTATTCTGAAAGTAATTTTTTATACAATATTTCAAATAATTTTGAGCATGAGACACAGTTTGTATACATTCAAACATTAGAAAGTCAAGGCGTCACTATCTCACCTCCCATGCAGACAAATTTTGGAGCCATTCAGATTTCAGAAATTCAAAAAAGGGATAGTAAAGGTAAAGGTTTTCCTTTGACATTAAGTCCAGTCGATTCCAACTCTGGGGGTTGGTACTCATATTCATTTCTAAGCCGAAGAGCTGGTGTTGTCCATAGATACCTCCAAGGTCATGGGGCCAGCATGATGGCATGGAGTGCTGTTACCTTCCTGCCGGAGCGGTAACTATTGATCTACTCACATTTGCATGTTTCTGAACTGCTAGGTTGAGAGAAGCTGGGGCTGACAGCAGAAGCTCATGCTGCTCCCTGGATTCGAACCTGTGACCCCTGGTCAACAAGTTTAGCAGCTCAGCAGTTTAACCCACTGCACCACTGGGGGCTCACTCAACCAGTATTGGGCTAGGATTCTGGAACAGCAAGGCCTCGAATTCCTACTCAGCCACTGAAACTTGCTCGGTGATTTTTGGCAAGTCACTCATCCTCAAAAGAAGACAATAGCAAACCTTCCTCCAAATAAGCCTTTCCAAGAAACCCATAGTATAAGCACACTGTAAGTCAAGAGTTGGCTTGAAAGCTATGTAATGGCGCAGCAATGTTACTAACAGGTGGCTAACCAATGTTCGGAGATCTCTGACCTAAAGACCTGTATTCAAAACTTTTTAGAAAAATCTCCCATGGTTCAATATTTCTGGATGAAGCCAAGATGACCTTCTCCTCACCAACAGATGCATCAGAGAGGACCATTCCTGGAGGTAGATCCCCACCTCCCGGTATAACTCTTTCCAACCCAATAGAGCCACCAGCATCTTCTCAATCCCCATTTGAGTTTCTCTTCCTCCAAGGTGTTACCTGCTAATGATGACTGCTCCTTTGTAGATGACCGAAAGGGCCGGCATCTTGTGCTTCGAAGTTTTCCAGGTCCGGCCCGGCTTGTAACAGTTCTGCCTCTTGCCGAGATCCGATAAAGAGTGGGAAAGGGCAAGGGAGGTCATGTGACCATCCCTTGGGGATGTTAATTCATACCTAAACATCGGTGCGGATGATCGGGAGAAACTCCCGGTCGCTTAAGATTAAGGCTTACGGGAGGGAAGCGTAGGCTGTGGGGCCTCTCGCAAATGGCTTCTCCAGGAGACAGGAATGGGCTGGGGGCAGGGAAGTGGCAAAACAAATCAATTAGGCTTAAATAAATCCTCTAACCCACCCATCCCTCTTGCCCCCATAGTCCTTGCTTACGTGCAATTACAGCAGCAAAGTAATTATTCTGATGTGTTTTTATTGTTCGTTGTGTCCCTGGCTCCACGCAGGCGGACAACGTCCAAAGCAGGTCAAGTGTCTCTTCTCCCAGGAGGCTTCACGTGACAGCCAGCCGTAATCGTGCCTCACTCCACTTCCCTTTAAAACCCTTTGTAATATCCCTGTGTGGGTTCTATTGTGGTGGCAGTGTTGAGTAGTGCTATTATTCTGGTTTCACCACTCACTAGGTGTTGTTGGTGGAGTGCTTCGACCATCAACTTTCCAAGTTCGAATCAGGAACATATGAATGTGGGAGGCAAGGGATTGCCTTCAAGTTGCCTGTGTATTTGTGGAGACCCTTTGAGTTTCATTGGGTTTTCTTAGGTGAGGAATACTCAGTGGTGGTTTGGCCTTCAAAATACAGCATTGCCCTCCACATTTGCAGGTTTGACTTTTGTGAATTTGATTTTTTGCAGGTGTGATTGAAATGTTTTCTCCAGGAATCTCTAAGTCCTCCAGCTTGACTGTATGATCAACTTCCAGAAGCTGAAGGACTTAGAGATTCCTGGACTTAGAGATTACAGAGAAGGGAAATGTCCAGTGATAGATGGCTGACTTATAGACAACTGCTCAATGTAAGCAATCAGGGAATAAGAATGAAAACATTGGAGGAGATAAAATCAATAGAACCCAAGTTTTCCTGGTTCCAGTACTGGCAAGTTAATAAAAACTTTAAAGAAGACAGAAAGATAGGATTTGAACTGAAAGAAAATCTATGGGATAAGATTATTAAGATGGAAAATAAATTGATCAAAAGACTGTATCAACAACTTTTAGCATGGGAAACTGAAGAAGAGCAAGTAAAGGCAGTCATGATTAAATGGGCTAAAATAATAGGACACACGATCACCATGGTAAAATGAGAGGAGGTTTGGAAAAAGAAACTAAAACACCCGTACGCTACAGAGATCAAGGAAAACTGGCTTAAGACGTTTTATTTATGGTATCACACTCCAGAAAAACTAGCAAAATATAGCAAGGGTAAGATCGATAAAAAAATGCTGGAGATGTGAGAAGAAAATGGGTACATTTACGCACATGTGGTGGGAGTGTAAAGCTATTAAAAAGTTCTGGTTTGAAGTGTATAAAAAAATATGAGAAATTTTTCAACTAAACTACGAATTTAAACCAGAATATTTTTTGTTAGGAATGACTGACCTTAATTTGAACAAAAATGATGACAAAATTTTCTTTTACCTCACAATGGCAGCGAGGATTTGCATAGCCTGAGAATGGAAAAACAAGGATACAGCAACTTTTAATTCTTGAATTAATAAGGCTATGGACATCATGAACATGGATTTGTTAACTCAGAAAATAAGACAAAACAGAGTAATAGTTAATAATATGGACTGGAACAAGTTCATTAACTTTCTTAAAAAAAATTACAAATATTTCTAAAAAGGGAAGGAATAGAAGA